TCTGCCATGCTATCCGCGATGGGATTATCGTTTTCAATGCTATCTTGGTTCTCGAGTTCATAGTACGTGTGCTCAAAAACGGTAATCGTATTTAAATACAAATTACAAATTTACTTTTCTTGCCTTCTCTTGGGCAAAGATTTCAATAATTTTGTCGTACTCTAGTTTTTTAAAAATATCATTTTCTATAAACATTAATGCGAAGTCATTTAAGTGCTCTTGTGAAAGACTATTGCGCAGATAGTTTTTGACTCGTTTTAAAACTGAAAATGTCCTTTCTCCACTTGCATTAGAAACGGGCAAGGTAAAAAAAATTTGCAGTATTGTGTGTATACAGTAGAATCCGTTTATTATGACTCCGCTTATATTGACCAACCGGTTATTATGACGTAACTACACTACCAAGTTTGGTTTTCATATAAAATTCTGTATAAAAAAGTCGGATATAATGACTTCGCTTACAGTGACATGTCGCTTATTATGACCCATTTTTAATAGATTATGTCCGGTTATAATGACCAACATGATTCTTTACACCTCCGGTAATGTTCGTTGATACCCGACGACGTTCGACACGTGGCGAACTTTTTATATTTATTGCTACATTTCTTTTATGATTGTCAAATTACTTTTATGTATTTACTATCGGAAAGACCAAATGCTTAAATAATAAATATAAGCATTCGGGCAGCAGCACCTTGACCACGACTTAATCCGTATTTTCCATTAATCCGAATTTGGCGTGGGTCATTCGACAATCTCAATGCTTTAAAAAAAAAACAAGAACCGTATTAAGCAATCGTTCAATTCAAATGTTTAGAAACCGAAGAGGCTTCGAAAATCACAAGAAAATTAATTAAATGAAAAAACAAAAGCAGACAAAAATTACAGATTACTTGCAGTAAAAAATACACTTGTATGTGTTATAATGTGCTGATTACGTGCAATTTTGATTTTGATTTAGGTAATATGTATGTATATGTACATATTTACATAAAAAAGGGTTTTCATTTCACAAAACGCTTTGTATGACGTCCGCTTATTATGACGTGTTTGTCAATTCCCTTCGATGTCATTATAACCGGACTCTACTGTATTTGGAAAAGTTGATTTTAGACCATTACTTAATGTTGCATACATTTCATGTGGATCTCTAATATTTTCTTCTTGTATGTATTTTAGAAAATGAGTTAACTCATCAGTGAAATATTCTGACTCAATATCTTTTTCATACTTAGACAATAATCGCTCTACACAATTATTAGTCTCAACACGGCTTAATTTTAAATCAAAGAAAATTTTAAAATCGTTAAGATCATTGATATAGACATCGCCCCTTCGAGTAATTTCTGATGTTAATACATCACATACAATATAAAAATGTTGAATGATTTTAATAAACTAACACTATTAAGAATATTTGTCTTTGGTTCCTGTAAGTATTTGCTGGTAATTTCGATTCTCTGTAGGAGTTTGTTCCAGAAAATTGTTAACAGTGCCGTCTCAAATTGATCGAACTCTTTTGAACTCTGTTTTTTTTTTAATCCAACTACCACCCCAAAAATCAAGATAAAAATTGTAGGAGGATAAACGTTGGTACAACGTGTTCCGCAAATGTAAAAAATGATAGAAAGACGGAATAATTAATATTCCAAAAAAGAGAGTTACCCGCTATTTTACAACCTCAATGGAATATTCCTCAACTCATCTCCTCCACAGATGTTCGAAATTTAAAAAAATTGGCAATATACTACTCGCATTATAGGTACAACTTTCTAATGCAATATTCAAGAAAAGGTCACAAAAATTCGTGGCAGAAAACATCAAAATTTTATTTTAAACAGTTTGTCATAAAGAAATAAAATCGGAGATAAAAAGTTTTAAGTCAGCTATATATCCGTGACGGTTGCTTTGCGGACACGTGTGAAATGCCGTTTTGGGCGCCAAGTGAAAACCAATACGTTATTCATAAAGGCTGAGGTCAAAACCAACTGATGAAGTATTTGTGGAATTACTATGTCTATATGGGACATATAAGTGCCAGGGGCCCCTCAGGCAGCCGGGGCCCCCCAGGCAGCCGGGGCCCTAGGCGCGCGCCTAGTGCGCCTAGGCCGTAATCCGCCACTGTAGTGACCTGAAACGTAAACATACTGCGCCAATTATAAGTCGCAATGTGCCACGCCGCAATGTGGGCCCAATTGCAGAGCCGGCTAACAACTTTCGTTCTTCTTTTTTCGCGTACGGCAGTCGCAAGTAAAATCGAATGATCGCAGCGAATGCACCGACTCTGTGCAGCGCGATGCACCCGATGCACTGTTTGAATATTTATTCGTTAGACGAGATGCATGCGTGCGCCGGGATCAAGGTAAATAAGTAAATAAGTTTATTTACATTATAATTGCGCGGACCTTCACTTTCCACATGCAGCCAATTGCCTGCCGATTCGCCGTCAGACACATGCGCGCAAATTATAAACAGAAGATGTTAATTGAAAAACGGGTTCAAAGTCATGCAGCAGGCCAGAAAGCCCCGCAAAAAGTTCAAAGTTTACAAACAAATGCAACGTCCTGTTTATTGCATTTTCCCGCGGCGAGAGACAACGCAAACCGACTGCAATCATATAAAGCGACGTGTTCCTTTCAGCATTACATGTAATAAAACCCTTCGGGCACGTCGGCCGTAATCCGCGGCCAGGCGTCAGACAGTCGCGAGCCCACCAGTGTGTCTTCTATTATTTTTTTTTTCTCCACCCGCCGCCGCCTCACACCGCTCTACCTTTTATTCACGCTTCCTTCCGTTATTTCAGTCTTGGGAGTTTCAGCTGTGGCCGTACCACGCTGGGGTTGTCTCGTGCGTCTTCTTAATATCAGTACAAATATAGATAAAGCAAATAAATACGGCCGACTGGAGCGCAATGTGGGAAACCCAACGGCCGCTGCGACTTGTGACCGTTGGGTTGCATGCGCGAGAAGGATGTGAGAGTCGCCGAGGGCGGGCGACGCCGCCGACGAAGAGGGTGACTAAGCATGCACGCCTGGCGCCAGGATCGATATTTAGTTTTATATTACGCCACCACTACACCCACACTGCAACATTTCCATCAACATTACATATTATATTAGCGCTTTAACGGTGCAACGGGGCGTGCGACTAGGGTTGCCAGAAGTTCAACATTTTAAATTCGACACTCTAACTTTAATAACAAAAAAATTGTGTTTATAAGTTTAATTTCCCTAAATTCACCCAAATTATTTTCGTTGTGTAATATAGATTTGTCTGTTTTGGGGCTTGGTAACCCTTCCGGGGTCAAGTGAACTCACCATACCAGCATGAATTTATCAGCACGCTTTCGACTGTTACTATTTGCACGTTTTTCGACTTCGCGCCAGGGAAATAATATGACCACAAACATTCAACAAAAAAACACAAACTTCCAGCGTGCAATACAATTTCTTTCAAAATTACAATAAAAACAAGATTGAATATCAACATGCATGAAATTGATGTGATTAACATATGCTTCCTGCTTCTTCAGTTCGTCTTCATCGGTGGTTAGATGTAATATTCTTGTGGTTGTGGTGCTCACACTAATTTTCTTATTTGCATCGTGCTGTATTACAACGACAGTTATTTCATGCCGCGCCATGTAAGCCTTATACGATGTTAACAAACAGCATACCTGAGCGCCAGCGTCTTATTAATATGCTGATTGCAAATTGCTTATGCGTAAAAATCGCCGCCGATTGTGGGTGACTAAGCAGGGCACGACCGCACGCGCAAGTGACTAAAACGAAATTTCACCGCGTATTCGGGTTTTCTAGTCGTGCACCAACACAATCAAATGAAAAAAAAAATGAAAAAGCCGCGCAGCTGTTGGGTCGATCGCAGTATTTGCTCGATAAATACATATAATGCAGCAAGGAGAGGGGTGGTAGTAATCAAAACCGGAAGGCCAGCGTCAGCGACGATAGGGGTCCATTTTTTCGAAATTGAACTTTCGCTCTAATTTACTTTCCTTTGTAGCTAATTACGTGAATTAACGCGTCGGCAGTGTGATGCACAGCGCTGCCGAAACGGGCGAACAAAACAGTTTATCGTTTGTGAAATATTATCATTGGTGGTCGGGCTGTAACGCGAAACCGCAGCGTGCTTCCGATGGTCAGGTTTGATGTCGGGCCGCAGCCGGGGTTCGATTTGCGTCAGTATTGGGTAATTTGACCGATTTTAATTCGCAGTTTCCTCATTAGCTGCAATTGGAATCGCGGAATTGTGCGCGTTTATTGGATGTGCGCAATGCAATTTGCATCCCATCTAACCGCATCAATTGCAACAATTAGTTGCGCTTCAATTCGATGTGAACAAGAGATCTTCGAGCGATATCTCGCTAGATAAATTTGCCGTATCTCTGTCACAGATACCACACATTCTAAGAAAGGACAAACGCTCGAGAACAAAGCCCAACATGTTGTGGGGTCGTCGTGCCGGCGAAAACAACTTCGAAACTATGTACATAACACATATGAATATAGAAAAAAAAAACCTCAAACAAGAATGGAACATGTGAGAAAATGAGATTTCAATATGTTACTTGAAACATGTTATACTGGGCGATAAACAATGTTAAACCCTTTTATACGCGATATTAAAATAGCTGATATCACGTTTGGCACCAACCTGGCGTGTATTTTTATTGTACAATGTTCGAAGAAGCTTACTTTTAGCATACTTTAATTATGTATTGTTTATTTTCGAAGTGAGTGCTTTCACACGCGACGTATGTTTGTCGTTCCTTTGTCGTTTGTTTTATAAACAATTTTGATTGTGTTAAGCGCTCGACACGACGTAAACGTGAACGTCTCGTTTCTTTCAAGATCAATTTACAATCGCCCATTCAGGCGAGATTTTTTTTCGCTGCGCGCCATCAGGTTATCCCAGTTTCTCCAATTGGCGTTGGGACCTTGTAGCATAATTAATAGAAGCAAACGATTGATTGTACTCACCATAGCTTCGTTAATAAATTCCCTTTTTAATCTCACGGGCGTTCCAACTTGTAAAATATCACTAAACAAGAGCGTGAGCAGGAATACTTTAGTCGCTGAACACATTTTGGTCCTTGTCATTATTGGTACCCGTAATGCTTCTTCAGGTAAGGACGACTGGGTACTTACAGCGCCGTAAATTCATTGGAAGCAAATACGCGTACTCCGGCAGTGAATATTAAAATATCTTTTGGCAGTGCACTATTGAACACGTTCGTTTAATCATTAAAATTATATTTAAATCCGATTGAACCAGGTGTTGCAGGTGTCGAAGATAGTCCCAACTAGCATGCGCGCGCAACTCGGATTGATAAGCATTTGACGCTGTTTTGTTATTTGTTTATTCAGAATATAATTTTACTCCCGTTGGGTAAAATTTACTCTGCCGTCTTCCTGTGTAGACCGCAGTCAAAAACCCCAACTGATTCATGCGCTGATTTGCATGCGTAAGTTTGGGAACCCGCCTGAATTTCCTTTGGATGATCACACGCACATTAGTTTATGAATTTGTATGAATGCCGGCCGCTCCTCGCTGCCGCTGACATACTCAGTGTCGACTCTTTGTGCTGCTCATGCTGCTGCGCGTCCGACGCCGTCATTAGTTACCATTAACTCTTCAGCTTCGTCCTCCGGCGCACGTGTTCTTTATTAAAACGCATTCGTGTGTTTGTTTACCGCTCACATCGATCAGCGGCCACCGGTTTAGGTCGTGGTGGAATTTTGAATTGATCGCACATCGGCGGCGCGCACACTTCGCGAGACGCTTAGATGTTTGTTGATATTTCGGCGTGCCGGCAAAGTTTCTGGACGCGCACGAGGGACGGGGGCGTCCTGCAAGTCGGCGGCCGTCTATGTGCGCCGATGCGCCGTGAACAACACGCGCTCTGTTGTGTGCGTCTTTCTGTCGAGCGAGTCCGTGCGACTGCGAGCACCCGACTGCAGCAACTGAGTACGCCACTCCAAAGAACGGCAATTTTATACGAATGCCCGACGCCGACTGGCTGCTACAGCGAGGATCAAAACAAAATACATGCGTACGATTTCTACCCAGCAAGAAGTTTTTGAAGTATTCTCAAAGTACAAAGAATTATTGCTATTTACGTTATTATTTACATTATTTATATATTTTACTATCGCGTATTATGTATTAACTACTTGATTTTGATTTGAAAATGAAAACAAGTTTAGTAAATAGTATATTATGCATCAAGTGGCTAAACCGGGACTTTACTCACGAGCGTTTAAGCAATCGAGTGTTTAACAACGTTTAGTCACGTGCTGCTTACGCTATTTTTTGTACCTCCACGTTAATTCCACGTGGAACTAACCGTTGGCAAATGCGCAGGTGCAAGCTCCGTCCCGTAGATAATGAATATTACTCACGACTTGGCCGACCGTATATAAAGTACCACTTTTTGTATCTAAAAACCGTAGAAAAACTGGCGCTTTTAAGGTGAAAATAGAAAAACATATCTATTTAGTTATCCAGAAATACCCCAAAATAAAAAAGTTTTTCCCTCGGTTTGAATTTAGAATCCACTTTGTATGCAGACCTTTGCGCGACACGCGTACGAATAATAATTAGCATGGAACAATGAATCCGAAAGAATACGAATGAGAATATTAACACATAGTGCGTAGACACGCTGACACCTTTAGTTTACAATATTCGGAAGCCATCGAATATTGCTAACCAGTGGCTATGCATACATTTTCAAAAAAAAAACCACACATCGTTAGATGATTAATATCTTCGTTGCCAACGAACGGATTTCCGTTTGAGCTTGGAATCATCACGAGTTTGTATAAAATTTATAGCATTCAGCTGAAGAACAAAAAACGCATGCAACATTTAGGCGCCACTTGTTCGCCGAAAAAACGCAATAAACTGGTCGGCAAAATGAATGTGATTCATTGCCTTAATGTTTTTATGTAGTTTGGAGAAAAAATATAATAATATCATAACTGCTCTCAATTACAGTTACAGCTTCTGAAAAACACTGCGCTGGTCTAGTGTGCTCGTTATTTCTTTAAACGAGATAAATGTAAAAATCCAGCAACATAACTCTCGCGCTTATCACACAATGAATTCAATTCAATTGCGCAGAACGATTGATAATCATGTATTGTAATGTGATGAGAAGTGTCTCCGTAGAGAATAAACTTTCCTAATTTAGAAATAATTTCCCGCATCAAATGTGACGCGCATTTGATCGTTGATTTGTTATTGGCGACACTTAATGGACGTGATAATGAAATAAACAATTTCAACTCTTAATTCGTCGCATTATGTGCGTGTTTACGAAGGCGAAGGCGCGCTAGACTGTAGAGTTCAGTCTTTGGTCTTTGGCCATCACTATAGTTTTATAGTAGCCCGCTATAGTAATCGTAGTTAATGAGATAATTGATAAATTGCCACTTGCCACCATTGAGCTCGACGCCACTTTGGCCATTTGCCACTTTTGGCATCTTATTCATGCATCCTTTATTCTTTCAGCCACTTGTCGCGACTTTGCATGCCGATATCTCACAACACTCTTCGTCGACTCTGATACGTCTATGATATCTAAATGACTAATTTAATTATGCGGTGATCAATGTGTGTAATTGTGTAATTTATTGTAGCCGTTATAGAAAAATTTTCAAAAATAAAAATGTTGCTCTAAAAAAATGTTTAATCTAATAATCTATGAAACACGTTAATTCAACTGACTTATTAGTAGTTTTAAGTTGACGCGACACAACTAGGTCGAGTGGAATTGTGAATTTAATTGAATCACGTTCAATAGTTCAATCACACTGATGCATTTGCGCGACCACTGTAGGCACATGAAGCAATAAACTAAATCTCGGTTATATCAATCAAGTAATCATTAATTAATCAATCAATGTATTACTTACTTGAAAACCGACCACAAACAAATTTGTAGCAATCAATTGGGCGAAAATTTATTAGTACTAAAGTTATCATGTTCTATTTTTGCTCGTGACTATTATTAAATTTCGTCGCAGCCCTCGCAAAGACAATGGCCATTAAAGTGTAGAGCGAGGCGTGCGTTTCATCCAGACGATCATCCAGACCCATTATTTCAGCCGGCATTTGTTTGCAAATGTCAAGTCCACGCATATGTGTGTAACTAAGTGTTAAATTGTAATTGTAATCTTTTAATGGACAGTCTTAAAACGAAAAATAGGTGCATTGACCATTCGTGTCATTAAGCGTGCGCATGGCTTTGAAAAGACCGGATATTGCACGCCCACGGCGCGCGTCGATTTCCGTTCTTCGCATATTATAATACGTGTTGGCTCTTTCGCTCGCAGCAGACTTCTCTTTTTCATTCATTTTTGCGCTTGTGCATATTTTGAGCGAATTACAAGTGCTGGATTTAGGATTTAATCCAGAGAAATACTGCTAAATCCTTCACACATTTGAACAATCAACGTAATATCAAAATTTTATTGCGTTTGAATGCAAATTTTCAAAATTATTTAATAAAAACTCAGAAAAAACTCACAAATTCTCATTCTCAGCTCTAATTATCTTTCATACCAACTCACCTTACATTTTCCACAACTCCTGCAGGGACAGGAATTAAATTTGACTGTCATTCGCTTGTGTTTTTAATAATTTTAGTTTGTTTTTTATACAGTTGTGTTTCTGTTTTTACACGCGTTTGCGTTGGCGATTTATCAATGATTATGTAAGAAAAATAATGCAACGCGCGTGCATCTAGCGATTTATCAAACTTTACATTATAAACAAAAGCAAATGTTAATGCAATTATAATGGTTGTTATAATTATACTATAGATATCAACTAAAACCTACACTATCTTTACAAGCACGAACCATCTTTATCATTGAGCAAACGCGTGAGAATTAAATATTTAAAATGAATGCGTTTATCAAGTAAACTTTGCTCACAAATTACGTTTCATAACTGACGCTAGGCACACCAAGGTAAAGCAATAGCAACAATGTTTAAAAGTATGATTATCAATTGTTTATATTTACTTGTTTTCCTGCTTTTCAAATGCACGCCGAACGAGAATACTTTAGAAAATATTCAACAACTAGTTGCGATTGTATGCATTCAATGAAACACGTGCGCTTTAAGTTGCGGAGCTGTAGGCGCAGCATTAAACTACAATTTGAAATCTAAACGAGTTGTTCAATAACTGCGCTAAGGAGAAGCAAAATTATCTTGAGTAAACAAATAATATTTACAATACCGTTTCGATTGTGCACAGCGGAATTTTACAATGCACGGAAAAGCACGTTTTAAATGTGATTGGAAACAAATTCATTGGTGCTCAGCGCAAAACGCGCAATCAGTAATATGTTTGAGTGCACTTGAAACTCGATTATCATATTATATACAGTGATATTAAAGAAGAGCTCTGCCGGTACCTTTAAGTACTTCGACTCTTCACAACAATTCATTCTCGTCGCACAAAGCGGTTGGAACAATTGCAGCGGTTAATGTGCGATTAAAATATTATTAAACTTCCGCCGAAAGTTTATCGCCCGACCAGTGCTGAGCGTGTCAAGCAGTAGTTATAAGTAAAGTCGTTGTGCTGTAAAGAAAATGACTTTGTTTATTGTGTTCGCGTTCTTGTTGATTGCGGCGACACCGTCATGGGCGGACGGCGAGGAGCTCGGGATACTCTTCCCGCAGAATTCGGAGACGCGCGAGATGACCAGCCTGGATGGCCTGTGGCGGTTCTACGTCGAGACCACGGACAGTGAAGTAGGTTGAAAGTTTAAGCAAAATTATCGAACACGTCTCATTGACAAACCGGCTTGAACTAGGCTAGAGACAGATCATCGGCCAGCATATAATTCAATACACCACAAGAGTTTGATTTACATTTCTTTGGCACCATCATTAATTACGAACGCGATTTACAGGACAGCGAGGGGCGTTTGATGCCGGTTCCGGCAAGCTACAACGATGTGGTCACCGAAGGCGAGCTGCGCGATCATGTCGGCGAGGTGCGATACGAACGGAACTTTTACGTGCCCAAATCATGGGCGAACCAAGACGTTTGGATGCGGTTTGGTTCTGTAAATTACCGCGCACATGTTGTATGTACCCGCAATCATTTACAATAAGTACCATCCCATCTAATCGCTGCGTGATTTTGATTAATTTCCAGTACGTTAATGGAGTATTAGTGGTTGAGCATCAGATTGGCCATTTGCCCTTTAAAGCTAGAATCACAGACGTTGTTAAATACGGCGAAGCAAACGATCTAGCTGTCATTGTTGATAATAGGCTGTATCCAACGACGATACCACAAGGAAATGTTACCACGATCGAAACTGATGATGGTCAGAAAGCAGAACAAGTGTACACTTTCGATTTCTTCAATTATGCCGGTATTCATCGCCCTGTTTATCTGTACAAAACACCGAAGAACGCCATTGACGATGTGACCATTACTACCGATATTATCAATTCAACAATGGGAGTCATCAATTGCAATGTGCATATTCGCTGTAACACTTGCAGCGGGTTGGTCACCGGTGTAAAATTGTATGATGCAGATGATAATTTCATAACATCAGTGGATGGTGAAGATAGTGCTATAAAAGTACCGAATGCAAAACTCTGGTGGCCTTACTTAATGAACCCGGAAGGCACCACTCCAGGATATCTCTATACACTGCAAATAGAATTGCATGATACATCTGGGTCGTTGATTGATGTATACCGGATGAAAGTGGGTATAAGGACCTTGAAGTGGACCAATTCAACCTTTGAACTGAACGGAAAACCAGTGTACATGACCGGGTTCGGTAGGCATGAAGATTCCGATCTGCGAGGTCGCGGATTGGATTACACTACAGTAATAAAAGACCATAATTTGATTAAATGGATCGGAGGTAATGCATACCGCACATCGCACTACCCTTACGCTGAAGAAATTATCCAGGTGGCTGATGAACTTGGAATAATGATCATTGATGAATGTCCTGCTGTCAATATTGAGTAAGAATATACTTGAATTAAAAAAAAAAAATTACTGTTTTTTTAAAAATTATTTTCAGAAATGTAACTGATGAACTAATGAAGAACCACCAGATATCTATTAAGGAGTTGGTACAACGAGATAAAAACCACCCTAGTGTCGTAGCCTGGTCCATCGCCAATGAACCCCGCAGTCAACAAGCCAATTGCGAACCATACTGGCGCAATGTTTCGGAATTTGCCAAAGCGCAGGATGCATCAAGACCCATCACTGCCAGTCTCAACCGGGAGTCTCACGAAGACAAGCTGGTAAGATACTCTTGACAAAACAAACAAAACCAGTATGCAATGGTGTGCTTCCAGGCGCAGTTCTTGGATATCGTCAGTTTCAATCGGTATAATTCCTGGTACCGCAACGAGGGTCGCTTGGACATGATCGTGAATATGCTGCTGAAGGAAGCGCGTGCGTGGAGAGAGAAGTTTAACAAACCGGTGTTGATGTCGGAGTACGGAGCTGACACCATGGAGGGTTTGCACATTGTACGGCAACTTTTTTTTTCGTCAACTTTCGAGTGTTTGTATCACTAATATTTGTGTTTAGTCGCCTGCATACATATGGTCTGAGGAGTATCAAGTGGATGTTTTAACGAAGCATTTCAAGGCATTCGATACGTTAAGAAACGAGGGTTGGTTCATTGGTGAATTCATTTGGAACTTTGCTGACTTCAAAACATCTCAGAGTGAGTAATGCACTACGATACGTAGTTGACATTTAAATATTAGTACAACAAATAAATGAATAATTCCAATTATGGCTCTTGGAAACACATCAAAGCGCGTATTTTGCAGAATTTCATTATTTTCTGGCCATAAAATGACTCCAAAAAATTATAGGCAATTTATTTTATATGGAATTTGTTTGGAATGCATATGATATCGGCAGAGTATTCAAATTAAAATTTTGAGGCTTGAATAGGAACCTCTTATTAATTTTATATACCACACATTCACGTTACATTAGCGCGTTTGGCTTCGATTAATAAATAATTACAACTTTTCTAATGTATAAATAATGATGACTTCAACTGTAACTAATATGTGTGCAGTGTTAATTGCTATAAAAGACCGCCGACGGCTCGAAATCTTTTGCGGCCGCTCGAGTCTCAGCAATGTTTGTGCATCACAGGCTAATAATCGCGACGGGCTGTGTGTACAGCCGCAATAACAATTTAACATTTTTATTAGCTGCACATTGAATTTATTGCACACGCGTACTTGACATCTGTTCGCAAATTTTCCTATTAATAATTCCTCATTTTCAGAGACGACACGCGTCGGTGGGAACAAGAAAGGCATCTTCACGCGCCAGCGGCAACCGAAAGCCGCCGCACACTTATTGCGCAAGAGATATTTTCATATTGCGCACAAACTCTACAACGCCCCGCTGCCGGCCGATCTCGAAGAATATGTTATTGATGACGCGATGCAAACGCGTTCGTTTGATGAGCTATAAATTTTGTTACCGCAAATTAAATAAATAAAGACGCAACAACTAATAATTTAATGGGATTTTTATCTGAGAGTAATCTAAGTATTTTTTTACTTTAAGTACGCAATTTGTAAAATTTTCCCTAAAATTTATGAGGCCACTCACTAAACTCAAACATTTTAAAAGTGATTAATTTAAAGTAATTGTAGGTGTAACTTTGCACATTGCACTAGGTTGTTGAATGTAAAGAGTTGTTTTCAATTTGACGATAACACGGATATTTTTACCCTTATTGAGTGCCGTTTATCGCTGTGCCACTTCATTCGTGATCACATAATCAAGAATCACAAAGTAATCGTTGCTGCAATCAATATTTGTCGTCATGTGCAGTGATTTTTTTTCGAATGCAAGAAACCACTCGTATCACTACGCCGCGTCCTGGTTTCCATCGAAATTTCGGAATGCAGCGGCTGATAGTAAAGATGCAGATATAGAGCAGAAAAAGTAAACAGTCGTAAATGAGGCAATCACGGCTTGACGTTTGTTTTGGTAGTACGGAGCGCTCCGCGAGTGTGCCGGCGCCGACGACTCCGGAGTGCGCTCTCCAGCTAGTGGCTTCGCTCATAACTTTTAACCCGATAGCCTGGTTCTATAAAAAGGGGCTACACGGTGACAAACCGACGCAGTGCTAATAGTGTTGTTAGCCGTGTCAGCTACCTAACTACCTAGCGAAACCAAATCGGATCGACACCGCACACATCGCATCGTTTAGGCCAGCGCTTCTTCCCGACGTGCAGACGCGCGCCGACCTTGCTGAGCGCACACGAAAACCGCGGTAAGTAAGTTAAGCGCTCGTTAGCGCGACACGCGCTCCCAAAGACGGTTTGACAACGTTTTCGCGCGTGTTCAAAAGTGTAACACATCAGGAAGTAGTTTTCACACGAGTAAAAAGAAATTAACGAAAAGAGAAAATTTTCTGCCGGTGAAGAAAACGCCGCGAAAGGTAAGAGCATTTACAAAATAAGTAAGAAAAAACCAAACCAGCATTAAAAGAAAACTCATATTGAAAATTCAAACTAACATTTTTGCGTTTGAAAGTTGCAACGCTCGTACGCACAATTAACAGGCAATAAATATGATAATACATTATTGCATCAACAATGCGTGTGTGTGTCCTTTGTGCGGCGTTTGTTGTTGCGTTGGTTATTTCTTTGTTCGATGCTGGTTTTTTGTTTAAATTATTTCGAACGGCAACGCATTTTTACGCATTTCATCAGATAACCAGCGTGCGCGCGAGCTGCGCTAGCGATTCAGGCAATCTGATCGAAAAGATAAATCACGATAAACATCACGAAAAGGTGAATAGAAATAACTTATTATGAATGCTTTTTACAGTTACGATAAATAATTGTCATTAAAATATTTACAAATGTATAACAACAAAGTATAACTAGTTTTGTGTTTGTCACACACAAAAAACTAATTCGAAAAATACGTACCTAAACTAGTTATTTGTTGATATTAAAAACCAATTTGCATTCTCGTATGATGCACGATGTCTCAATAGCACACACACGCGCGTAAACAAAAACAATAATCGGATGATAGATTGAATAATCGCCGAATGTTCACCTAGCGACAACACTAATCATCCAGGCATGTCATTTACCTTTCGCGTCCAGGCCGTGGCACCCTCCGACGGGAAAGCAAAAGAAAAACCGCTAAACGGATCAGGTCGGTCCGCAGCGTGGCGCGTTCCGTGATCGTCGCCCGCCCGCTGCATGCCGATGTCCCAATTTCAGTTTATCCGATTTATACACCGGCACACTGGCACTACACACGAATGTTGAAAGTGTTCACAGTTTGTCGAAGGTACGGCGACAGGGCGCGATACGATACGAATTTCGAACGACTATTATTGTCGACTGATCGCGACCGCACTCCGATACCGAATAAACAAGTTTAAGATATTTGCTGAAGGTTGTGATAACACTGCTTCAAAACACGTTGCTTTAAATTGCAGCCAACGGGCGATCACCAATCCCAACGGGTGGGTTAATGGAGTAGCGGATTGCAGCACCGATTTAAAGTCAACAATAAAATATGCTAATGGGACCACTGATATACGTCTTCGTGCTGGCGCACGCGGCTGTCCAAATCGATTGTATTCTCTACCCCCGTGAGTCGGAAACTCGTGAAGTGCGAACCTTGGACGGACTTTGGAACTTTGCGGTTCCCCCAACGGCAAATAAATCTCTCGGCTTCTATCAACAATGGTACTCTCACGATTTGAACCGAGTAATGTTTAATTATGCGTCTAAAAATAACATTTCTAATGAATTGTTTGCCTTAGAACGAACAAGTTTCTTCAATTTTAATGCCGGTACCTTCTTCTTACAATGACATTACACAGGATGCAGAACTTCGTGACCATTTAGGGGTAGTATGGTACGACAGAACTTTCTTCGTGCCTAAATCATGGGCTTCCCAACGAGTTTGGCTAAGATTTTCATCGGTTTCATATGCTGCGCAAGTGGTATGTCATAAATTCCACATCAGGTAGTGCAATAAACAAATAAATCTTCATTTCCTTGCAGTGGATTAATGGGGAGTTATTGCTGGTACATGAAATGGGTCATTTGCCGTTTGAGAGTGAACTGGGCGAGTATTTATTATACGGTCAAGAAAATCGTGTCACCGTCGCATGTGACAACACATTACTGCCAACCACAGTGCCCCAAGGCAATGTTCAAGAAGTCAACACGTAAGTGATTTTGCACTTTATTATGCGTAAACATTCTGCGCATTCCTTTCGACATCAACAATCTACGGTTCCGGGAGTAAACCCGACGACCCCATCCGAACAACAATTAAAATGTTGACTGATGAAGATCAAACCGTTTATTTATATTAAGTTTTAATTTAGGGACAATGGAAAAAAATACATCCAAACATATACCTTTGATTTCTTCAATTATGCCGGTATTCATCGATCTGTCCATCTGTATACAACGCCACAGCAGTTCATCGAAGATGTTTCCGTGGTCACCGTCATTGATCAGGATGGTGAAACTGGTGTGGTGTACTATAACGTCAGCAGTCGAGTAAACAATGCTGTACGATTGACGTTGTATGATCGCGATGGTCAGGCGGTCGCCTCCGAAGTAGGCACGCCAAACAACGAAGGAACGCTCAAAGTTCCAAACGCCAAATTATGGTGGCCCTATTTGATGGATCCGGAACCCGGATATTTGTACACCATGGAAGTGGAACTTTTTAATGACGATAATGATCAAATTGTTGATGTGTACCGCTTGAAGGTGGGAATTCGTGAAGTCACCTGGAGCAATACCTCTTTATACATGAATGGTAAACCGGTGTACCTACACGGATTTGGAAAACATGAAGATTCTGACATCCGTGGCAAAGGTTTAGATTTTCCTGTGATTATTAAAGATTTTAATTTGATTAAATGGGTCGGTGGTAATACATTCAGAACATCCCATTATCCTTACGCTGAAGAGATCATGGATCTGGCTGATGAGACAGGGATTATGGTAATAGATGAATGTCCAAGTGTTGATACAGAGTAAGTAAGAACTGTGAGATTTAGAATATGAAAAATGCACGGTACGAACTAGAGCTAGAATTTTATAGAAACCGTAGTGCAATTTTAAAAATATTGTTTCACGTTGGATTGATAAATTGTTGTTTTTTCAGACCAGATTTTCATTATACATTTTACAGCTTGTTTTCGTCGACATTACTGGAAAAACATAAAAGTTCACTCACACAGCTCATTGCAAGGGACAAAAATCATCCCAGTGTGATTGCATGGTCCATTGCCAACGAACCCCGCACTCAAACGAAAGCAGCGGGCGAATATTTTGGTAAAGTAGCGAATCACACACGAAAACTAGACCCGAGGAGACCTATCACATTGGCGGTAGCACGAGGTGTTAGTGAAGATCAATCAGTAAGTATTGAAAAACATCATAAAAAAACAATGTTTTATGCGTTTAAATTGATCAGGGACAACATATGGATTTCATCAGCTTTAATCGCTACAATGCGTGGTACAGTAACCCGGGACATTTAGACATGGTCACGTTGAATGTGATTAAAGAAGCGACGCAGTGGCATGAAAAGTATAACAAACCGGTGTTGATGTCGGAGTATGGCGGGGACACACTGGCTGGATTACATTTATATCCGGCGTATATTTGGACCGAAGAATATCAGGTTGCATTGTTTTCCAAGCACTTTGAAGCGTTTGATCATCTCAGGGACAAAGAATGGTTCATAGGCGAGTATGTATGGAACTTCGCTGATTTTAAAACCGCGCAAAGTAAGATATTCATCAAAATATCTCGGATTTTGTAATAATTCGGTAAATGTTTCAGCGTATACAAGAGTTGGAGGAAATAATAAGGGTATTTTCACGCGTCAACGCCAACCAAAGGCGGCTGCATATCATTTACGTCGTCGTTATTTCGCTATTGCCAATGAGTTGTACAATGCTACATTACCCAATGACTTGTATCTATACACCGCGTCTGTTCAAAAGTATCATGAGGAGCTATAAGAAACAAGAATTATAATACTATGTAATATACATTACGTTTTTATGCTGCTGGCGATCAATGTCTTCCATGTTCCTGTAGAAATGCAATAGGTGGGTGTGCTAAAAATTGCGCAGGTCGTTTTTCTCGTGGTAAAAATCCTGGACAAGTACAGTTTTATTTTACCAACACAGAAAAATAAAACTTACAAACATACGCAAAAAAAAAACAAAAAAATAAATGATTTCCTCCATGTTAGGTATAATTTGATAACGTTCCCGTAGAACATCAAACACATACTCGCTTCAATTCATGTCGTGGCCCACAGGATGCGGAAGACCACCATGTCGAATTCTTTAGGAATTGTTTAAACGGAACAAATCAATAAACAAAATCATCTGCTTTCTCAACATTCTCTCAATTTGTTCAACTAATTCTCGTTTACCATACGCAACAATAGAAAACATTTATACTTATATCTATTATATCTCTGTGTCTCTTTCATCTTATTCTTACTCTCATCGCTTTAGTTGCTTTCCGGCTCTTCAATAATTAAGCATTCGCACGTTCCTAACAAACTGCTTCCTTATTTTCTGCTTATCTCTAACTTTTTTTTTATCATTAAACTTAGTTCCCTTCCAGTTCACCGTCAAGTAATTTCTATATCCAACAAAAACATTCATCATATTTGCGTTAGGTTCGCAATGTTCTTTGACTCAACTTCAATGGCATTTCGCAAAATAAGCAAACATACACTTGTTTCGTTTCTCGACCATTTCCACAATTTCCCACCCACTCCACACAGCGGGAACGAAAATAAGATCGGCATTTTTGTTTTTGGACTACTTTACAAACTAGGTATGTACTTAAGATTTAAAAACGACTTAAGACGTAACTTACGACTAAAAACACATCGAAATCAGAAAATAAATGTACAAAAATGTGAACATTAATTAAGATCGACTGAAGAACAAAGAAGGCGCTCGCAACGAGCTGCAAATCATTACATGCAGGCTGTACTAGTACGAATAACGATTGATACAAAAGAAACTCGCGAACAAATGACTAAAAAAAAAAAAAACGACGCACGATTTGAACGCATTGGATTCGCATTGATATTCCCGAATTCAAGAGCAACTCGCGCCATGGCACTATCAAGCAATTTACATCCTCAGCAGTATAAAATCAGTCGCCATAGGACAATTCTAAAAACGCGCCGCGGGCGGCACAACGAAACGTGTTTGGTTTAAGAAAGAAAACATCAAATCCAATGCGTCCATAACAACATTCTTAATTAATTATCATTTCATGTAAACTTAAATCTTAACTATCCGTATTCAATATTATAATAAAAAAAGAACTTAAAACTAATAAATATTCTTTCAATTTTTTAAATAATTTTTATAATCACTAACTAACTACTTAACTAGGACTTAAAACTATAAATTACAAATAGTTTTCATTTTCTCCGTTTTAATCTTCGTACCTCCTCAAAAGAGAGAAGCAAAGTCCGTTACTACCTCCATTTTTAAGTTTGACTTGAAAAATGTTCAAAAGTGACTCAAAAATAAAGTCTTGTTTAAGCTTTTCACCCAATCGACTTTTCTCGCTCCTCGCCGTTACGCATTAACCGTTCTCGGTGTCGTTCCACTCCTCTCGCAGCGATTAAGTTCGTGCGCACACATTCCAGTTTAAGCTTACTTAATATTAGAATTTTTCTTAATGTTACTTAAAAACTAACGCTAATAGGTAAAAGCCCCATCTAAACAACTAAAGAAGCTATTTTTATATATATTTTTCAATTGGTTTTTTTTTCTCTCAGCGCAAATTACGAATCTGCCAACTTGCTCGCGCGCAACCATTGCGCGTCGTCTGACTCGCCTCGCTTCCTTCGAAGACTTTTGTATATCAATGACTTAATTACAACTAACATTCGTATCCTGCTCGCGTCGCCTTGTTAAGTCTAGCTACTACTTAATTTATAAATCTATGTGTCTAATCCCTATGTACCTACAGTCTAATGCTTAGAGTTAGTCTTACGCTTAGTTGTTTTCTTTATCGTTAGCTAAATACATTACGTTACTAAGTATTCATCCTCTACGTTTATCATCGCCCCGTCGTCTCATCGTTTAATCTTTGTTTTACTTTAGTTTTGCGTTGAATCCACTTTAGTGTCGTGTAAAAAAGAACGAAACGTATCAGTTAACTGTCTCTGCATGCACATCAGCACATCGCATTCCCATATTTTGTGTCTTCTCTCGCGACCGTCCGAGTCGCGCCAACACCTATCGATTTAAATTTACATACAACGCTAACTACGCGTAAACTTAGCATTAGTTTTTCATTTCATTTATAGTCGTTTGGTTTTCATTTTGTTTTCCTCCCATTTAAGGTTTATGTACAAAGGTTTTCCATTATTATACTTGGTTTTGACAAATAATGTAATCGTGTTGTATAGTAAATGTTAATTTTAAAATTCTGTATAAATAGGCATCTCTGTCATCTCATAAAGGATCATCTCTTACTAAGTGTGTGAATGTTAAGATATTTTTGCATTACACATTTCCAGGTGACGGTCGAAAATGTGGCTTTTGATTTGATTTTAAGTTAAATACATGTGCCGTGTTTTGTTTCGTTCTAGTTCGAATTCATTTTTCAGTGTGTGTTTGTCAGACTCTCGCATCACTTTTTGCTATCGTCGTATCAATGGAATTTTGCAGGTTCGTTAAACTTCGAAACGCATCTAACTGGGTGTGGTTGAACATTACAAAATTAATAACAACTTAAATTTGCACTCATCCGACCAATTTGCTTATCAGTACATTCCCGAATTCCCACATTTTATTTGTTCATTGCAATAGCAACAAATAAAAACTTTCTGAAGGCGCGTTTTAGTGTGTGTGTTTCCATTTTGTAATACTTGATACTATTTCTTAATTAGCTTCATTAACATTACGCTTAAATAAATTAAATAAGATCTCTAGTGTACGTTCTTTGAAATTTAATTATTTATTACATCACTATAAGTATTTCCTCTGTGTGACATTTGATAACTGAAGGAAAGCCAGATTCTCGAAATAAAAAATTCATCGACCGAATATGAAAGCCGATTGCAGGTAATTTCCGGTTTGGATTTCGTAAAAATTTCTGGGCTCTTGTCTTTTGTTCCTGTGAATCGATAACTGGTAAACGCATATTCTGTTTAGGTTTAAGAGTTCATTCATATTTGAAGTATTTATTTTTAGTTATTATTAAAAAAATATATTAAAATATTTTTATGTAATTTTTTTTTCATTTTCTTTTTCAATTTAATTTATTTTTCAGTAGATCCCTGTCTGGACTAATCTGAAAAGGCACGGTACGAATTACTTTTCAATCGTGTGTATTTTCTTTCATGAAATCTCTTTCGTCTCGCTTGCTGCTGCGCGCGTTCGTATCAGCGTTATTCATAGTGCACGGCTTTTAAACCTGTTTTCTCAACTAGTGGTCGTGTCTAGTCCGCGTGTGTTGTTTCATGTTCCAGCTCCTCGTAAGATCACAATTCGTTCGTGGTTCGTTCGTCATTTCCGCGAGTTCAACGCATTTCGCCATCAGACGCGAATATGCAGATTTCCGGCGGTGCGAAAATCCGTTAAAAATAAAAACAATTGAGCGTTTCTCCTTCACAACAGCGCCCCGCGCCATCAACCCCTACCGTAAACTAGCAAGAGTCATACGAAATAATAAATAAATTAATTAAACACAAAAATAAAAATTGCTATCCAAAAATAATAGTCCTATGTAATAAAAAATAAATAAAATCGACTCTTTCAATTCCTCTCATCTCGCGCATCCTCCTATCATTCTGCCCCCATTGTTACCCGCTGCCCCATCGCTTTCTTCTTCGTCTCGTAGGTGTAATGTATAAAATTAATAAAATATATTAATTTATGATTAACATTTAAATAACTATTTTATACAAATTTAATGACTAGACCATTTAAACTTTAATGTAAACTGAGGGAACATCCGAGCAACGAAATGCGTTGAACCGAAATTCGCATTCACCTGCGACTCTGCTGCATTTCACCTTCTCAACATCGCATTCGTCTGAAGCACATGCTAATCAAATTAGCAGGACGCCTCGAATGATAAACTTCATTTGCTGAACTTTTAAATTCTTTAGTCGCTAGTAATTTTTGGTAATAATCTCCGGAATTAATTAAGTTGAATTAAAATATAATTAGTTTGTCATCAGTCCATTGTTTTATGTTTAAACGTATTAATGTGTATCTTTTATCAATTACCATTTTGCTTTAATCATGATTATCATGAGTAGTGTGTATAAAAATTCTATTTTCGTTATAAAAATGTCAAGCCTACCGTGCGAATTGTACCCAATTCGACAATTATTTTTTTTTGCGTGTGTTTCGTTCTCGTGATTTCTTTTATATTTTTTTGCCAGAAAACCCTTGCTGTGTTTCGGATTGTTTATTGTTAATGCGTTCCATTATTCCTCGTCCGCTCGTGTGTTGTCTTTGTAACTCTCATTAAACGTTATGTAACAAACGACTAATTTTTAACAGATTTGTGAGTTCCTTCGGTCTTAATAAGTTGTGTCAAATCGAAAGGCGCCTCGAACTTCATTTGCTCGCTAAGCAGTGTTATTATTCTTAATTGAATTATTACACGAATCGCAATTCGTTTGCTACATCAGTCTAGATTTCTAGATAAAACCGTAATTCATGGGAATTCACAACTGATGAAACAAAACGATGGAAAGCCATATTCGCGGGCGCGCGCGACACCCCACACATGCACCGCGTTGATCAACTGCGCGCATTTCAATGTGCAAAATGCGCGCAGTTGGGGCGGCGGCGCAGGTGGCGGTACGCGTCGCCGCCAGTGTGTGTCTGTATGTCTGTGTGTGTGGAACGAAATTCGGGCATTAGTTTCATTTCAAAGTTTGTAACATCGAGAAAAACGAAAAACTTTCAAAAATCCGTCCGTAAAAAACGTCCGTAATCTATTCAACAATTTGTAAGTTGTTCATATATAAAATATCAGTCGTTTTATTTTATGTTATTTTATTTACCTTTATATTGTATTATGTTATTTTGTTTCCTTTATAGTTAAACCGAGAGAACTAATCGCATCTAATTTTGTCTTATTACTCGATCTCGATTGAAAGTCGTTCCTTCGCTTCCCGATTTCTCACAAAAATCGAATGCCTTTCAAAAATGTTACGCTTACACGGTGCTGTTGTTGTACCACTGCTAATCGAACTAATAATTCAGAAATGAAACGAAAACGAGTGCGCTGCGGACTCGAATCGGAATAATCTGTGTTTTGCAAATTTTTTTTTGTGTCAATTTCGTCTTGTCTGCGCCGGTCGAAACGTGATTGTTATGTTACTAATACTTTACATTTATTGGAAGTCTGTCTCGTCTTAACGTCTAGCCTCCTTCGCGCCGAGGCTCGCATTTCTTTTCGCTTGTTATAATATGTTTTCCAGGAAGAAATGTTTGATTCAGTACGTCAATAAACTGACATTCATAGTTTGATGAGCATTTACGTGCGTACCCGGGTCGCCCTTCTAGTTTGCGGCGTAGTTTTCGCGTATTAGTAGCTTTTTTATTCGTTCAACGTTGCTGCGGTACTGCATTTGTATGTAATGTAACATGTTCAAAAAATAAAGTGTGACTTAATATTACTTATTATCTAAAAATCTTATTAACCCTTAAAATTTTGTCGCACGCGTGCGCCTGCTTTTGCGAATTTCATCATTTTACTGTCTACACTTTGCAAATGTCGCTTCGCAGCGTTTGATTCGTACAAAATGAAGGAAGATCTTTAAAAATAAGTTCGAATCGAATGGCCGACACTTTTTCTATTTACAATCGCAATTGCTTGCGATCCGTCGGCGCTCCGACGCTTTCCCTCTGCTCTGACTGACTGAAAAATGGTTTGCTATCAATTCCAATCTCTCCACCTCCTCCAACGCATCCTCTAATCTCAGAATCCAATTCGACCTAGTGTTTATCTAAAAGCTAACTATTTACAAGCTTACTGCTTCCTTAGCCCAAACGTCTCAATAATTTTTTGTTCAGTTTACCAAATGAAAATAAAAATAAAGCCACTTTTGACTCCGTTTTCTATACTTAAATATTTATATGTAATTTAACGATTTAATTTTCTCTCTGCGCGTAAAATTCCTTAATAACTTTCATTAGACTCTCTGGTTTCAATTTTTTTGTTTTTGATATTCCGATACACAACTTTACAAAACAGGAACATTCTTTTAATGCTTCAGTCCCACAATCAAGTGACGGCCAATTACTAACCAACGAACAAGTTAACGCAAAATTGCTAAGATAACTCATATCTTTAGTTTCGTCGCCGAAAGAAACGCTTCATTCCGTTCGTTAAGACGCTACAACAAATCGAGCAAACAAAAATCAATTTAAAGAAGAAAAAAAACGCGATAAAATAAAACTATTTGCGGGCAATGCCAACAAATATCGGAAGATTGGCACTGTTTTGTTTGTAGAAATCTGCGATTCTCTCATATTTTTTGTTGGTTTTGTGTGAATTTGTTGTTTCTTCATTTATGTATGTGATCGTAATTTTCGAATTGTAATCGAATGGTAAATGTCGCAAGTCCGGTAGTATATGGATCGCCCGACCGGTATCGCGATGTCGGGCGGGCGGCGAAGTTTTGCGTGTGTTCGTCATTTATTTTTGCGTGTTCGACTGGTAGGGCTGGTAGGGGTCCTCCGGGCTAGCAGCGTTCGAAGTGTGCTCCGAATCTTGCATGGGCATCGCGTGGATGATCGACGGCGAGAAGTACGGATAGTTATGCGAGATGTACGGAGCCGTGCCGATCTGCATCGCGCCCATCTGAGCGGTCAACTGAAACGAGTACTATTGCAGTTTGTATTATTCAAACAAAAATCCAAATGAAAGCGATCCGCCGCACGTTATGTCACATCTCGCGCGCGCGCGCGCCCCGCGTGCACAAAGAGTGTGAGATTAACGCCAGACTGTTTTAAGAGCGCGTGAGTAAAATCGATCGGCAATTACCTGCGGCGGCAGAATCTGCTGGTATGGAACGGCAGTCTCCGATGGCAGGACTACCGAAATGCGCGATGGCTGCCCGTCGTTCTTGTAGGTGCCCAAATGCGCCGCCGTCAAGTTATAGCCATCGTCGACGGTCGGCACGGTCGCCGCCGCCTGCATAACCGCATACTGCGGCACCCACTGAGCATAGCTGGGCACCTTCAATCAAACAAAACGAAAATATTATTAAACCTGCACCAAAAATTAAACACTGAAGTCGTCAATGTACCTGTGAAAAGTGTCTACCGTAGTTTGGAATAGTACCAGGGATGACTTGGTGCGGACCAACGCCGTTAGGCGCCAGGGCATTGGGGTCGTAACTAACGGCAGCAATGCCGTCGCCCCCGGTGATCATTGTAGTGATCATACCCTTGTTGTTATCGTTATTCTTGTACAGATTCTTCTTCTTGTTACCGCCGTCGGCAAACTTCACCAGGAGCGGCTCCTTGTTCTCGGGCAGAGAGTGCCCGTTGAGCATGTTGATGATTTGTTCGCATTTCTCCTTCGACTCCATGCGCGCGAAGCCGACGCCCTTTGAGACGCCCACCGAATCGCGCAGAATACGAGTCGATATCACCTGGCCGAACTTGGACAGCATATTGTCGACGTCCGACTCCTTATAGGTGGTCGGCAAGTTGGCGATGTACAGGTTCGTCGGGTCCTGCTCTTGTTGCTGTGGAAAGTAAAGGACGATTGAGAATTCCGGCGCACTCCGCACAGCGTTGGTTCCTCCTACTCGTCAATTGACTAAATAAACTATTCGATTATTAAGAAAATTAATACAAACTCAATGAAAATTAATCCAATAACAGGTGTTAGTTATATAACTGCGTTCAAATATTTACAAATTATAGTTCACGGAAGAGACGCGGTTGCGGTGCGCGCAACCATCGATATGTGAGCATCAAGTTTAAGTTTGTTTTCCAAATTGTAGCTGTAAACTGATTTTAATGTCCGAAACAACGAATGTCGAAGCTGACAGCGTCAACTTCAATAAAGAGATACACGCTACGCAATGAAATCTTGCCTCACAATTCAGCATTCCGGAAACGGAGTTCAACTTGTGACACTACTATCAGTCGTGTATTGATTTTGCATCTAACATGAGGCGTATCCGTGAATATATTTCCTCGGAACAATCTCAATAATTAAGAAAATCGGAAAAGAAAATAATTAAGTACGGTTGTTGTATATTATGTTGCTGTTCATTATGTTAATGGTTCATGCTTGAAATCAATATCTTTTGGTATCATTGCCAACAGCCTTGTGTCTCAAGAACGCAATACGGACCAAACCAAATCAATGAGAAACGAATCGTAATGTATGAGAAACATGAAAATGAAAATAGATACTTAATCAAACTGAAATAAAGAATAAGGAGCACAGCCTAGTTACTACTTGACTCGAGAGTCATGCACTATCCGATTACCAGACAGGTATTATTAATATATGTGAACCAATGAATATGGGGAATTCCGAATGAAAATAATATACAGTAAATAAAAAACCAAAAATTATTTTGTAAAAAAAAAAAGGAATAACACAAGACGAAGTATTAAAAACATAAAACATGAAGCAGCGACTGTTGGTTACGTTCGCAATGTTACTGTTACATATTACTTGCATTATTAACGGCGGGGAATGTTATCGACATTTAAGAGCGACTGAGTCTAGCAATCGAAAACAGATACGTTCGCATTGCGAATTCTGCAAGAAGTGTCAATTAGCGCTTATTTTTTTTTTGGTCGCGAGTTCTTTTCTGGTATTCAGCACTCTTTTATCATGGCGTCGGTATCGAAATCAATCAAAGGGCAAATCAAAAGGGAAACATGTTTCAATAAGCTAAGGTATTACTTGCATGCAAACGTACAGTGGGCCTACGATGCAACCAATTACCCACTTTGGCCATTTGCGCCTGAACGTTTTTCGCAGTCAGCGCCTTGACAGCTCGCTCGGCCGACGCCGGATTTTCGAAATCGACGAAACCATATCCTACAAAACGACAGAACACAAATCCAATTAGACATCGGGCGTGCAACAGCCGACGCATCGTGGGCGTTATATTACCTCTACATTTATTTGTATTCTTGTCTAAAATGGCTTTGGTTGAAATAATGGTACCGTACCTATAATAAAAACGTTTTAATCATGTTGTTGCATTGCATCGCTAACGGCGCAAACACTATTGACGAGGCAGTGGTCGTGAAATAATAATAAAATAAAAAAAAAACGGCGAGCACACACACACAATCGTCGTACCTTTCGTTCTGGTTTACGCATGCAATAACAATCCAAAAAATAATTCGCAAATTTGATAAACACGAGCATGACCAATATAATATGAGCGCAAATTTCATTCCTAAATGACCAGCCCCGACAAAAGTGAGACCACCTCCTGTTTGGCAGCAAGTGCTATAGAGTAAAGGGGGTAAGATGATAGATGCAAGGCTTACTGAGAACACATGTTAACGAGGTCCTTGTCGGTGGTATTGGGTGTGAGGCCACGTATATAAAGATTGGTCTTGGATAGCTGCTCGGAGGAGGCGGCATTTCCATTGCCCTGGGGCACGTTGTTGCTCAACGACGTCGATACCGTGCCGCTCTGACTGCCCGTGTGGCTGCTGGAACTGCTCGTGTTGCTGGGAGAGGCGGCAGTCGGCACCCTCTGGTTTCCATACTGCAAGCGCGAATAGAAATACAACGATTTCTTCAGTCTCATTTTAAACAACAGAACAAAGTAACAAATAACATGGATAAACGCGAAAAAATACTCGATGTAATCCAAACAAGATACATAAATATAAAAAAAATAAATGTGACATTGACGTTTTCCTGTCTCTGTGACAGATTGTTACATTTGGACAATTTGGAGATGCTTGGGTGGTAGTAAAACTCACCGAATTCGAGGTGGACGTGTAGTTCCCGGTGCTATTGGCCGTGTACTGGGGATAGCGTTGATAGTAGTTCGTGTGGTTAGGCCACTGGCCGCTGCGGAAGTTCTGATGTTGCGTAGCCATTGGAGGCTTGACGCCGCCAGGAAACGGCGCTCTGCTGCCTCCGTTACTACTCTGTGAACAAAAGATAACGCCGATTAGTCGTTGCTCTTCGTATCATCACCCACAACGAAATACCAACGAAAAAATGATATGCGGCAATGTTATACACTGAATTGACGCATTGTCATCGTCATCATCATCATTTACATGTTGTTGTCGAATGCTACCGCCAAATGTTTACATTTTCAAGTGCTGGAAGCCTTGAAAACTATCACACAAAGAGCACAACTGACTGAAAATTCTTTTAAATGCCTCTTATCGCTAAATTCAAGTTTATACAGCGCGCATTAAACGACGTTAATTCGTTCACAATATAAGATAGCACTTATCTAATGATTGTGCAGTCGCATGTGGAACGGTACGAAATCTATAATGTTAATATTAACAAAATAGACGACATGCATGTACATAATACGCACTCCAGTATGCGCGATAAGATAACAAAATGTTGTGAGTCATTAGGATTTGTTCGTCGTCCGGGTGCTGTGATTCATGATGTTGCGTCCCAATTCGTCGGCGATTCGAAAAACCGATTGACGCCGCTACGATGTGCGCATAGGCATTGAAAATCTGGGTTATCAGAGGTCGCTTACACTCTTCTTTCGCCGGCGCGCGCCGCGAGTGTCGAAGAATGAAGAGCGCCTCGTTCTCGCGCTGCTCCCAGCAGAACTACTGCTCATCGCGCGAAGAGTCGCGGCCTCTCACCGCAACCGCCACGCGCATACCGACGCGATTCAATCGGAATCGAAACATCATACGTTCGGCTTGAGGAATTATGACGACATTTGAGGTTTAAGGACAAGCGCAGAGTTAAAAATCGAAAAGAATCCCACTAGATAAGCAAACGCATTCCGAACGCCAGAGATCGGTAAGCGTCGTCGTCCTCGGCAGGTAGAGCGAAAACGAAGAACAATGTCAAATGTGAATGTAAACAGTGTGTTGTGGGTGCGCGCAAGCACACAAGCATTCGAGGAATGTCTGTGACAATTACAAACCAGATTATTAGTCCACTATCTCGATATGCGTGGCATGAGGTCGGAATTTCATTCCGGCGATCACGAGCATCCATAGATCAGCCCCGGAAGTTAATACATCTCGCCGGTTTTTACTAAGAGTTTTCTCATTCGTGGTTTCCTTTCGTTCTAATTGAACAGAGACGCCGGTGCACGCCGGCCGAAGGTAGGAACTGGCGGTTAGCCAATTGGCAAAATAAATGGCCGTGAGCGCGAGCATGAGCACGAAACAGCGCCCAGGCTCTCGTTATGAATTTGACGTTCGTGAAAGCACACGTTTCGAACCGTTTTCTAATGGTAAGGCACACACACTTACACATGGTGCCGCGCCATTAGGGAGAATGGTTTCTTTCGCGCCGCGCGCGGGGCCGAAGATTTCTTCCCAACTATGCGGCGGGATCTTCGCGACACCGGCGACATCGTCGATTGTCCTGTTTTGTGTGCCGCAGCGCCTACATTACAGTCATTGACCTTTTCAAGGTCGGCGATGAGCAACAAGCAAGACCGCCGCATGCGAGGAGGAGCATCCCATCCGGCGCGCGGTCGTGCCATCTCTCCGCGCGCGCGCGCGCCCGACCGCCGCAATTTAAATCTGCTCGCGCCGATATTTATTTACATCGTTCGATATATGAAACAAATTAGCGTGCGCGCCGAAGAGAAAAGAGAAATGGAAGCCGGCGCGCAGATGGGCGGGCAGGCGGGGACGGCGGCTAGATGCACTTGCTCCACATTCCATTCGCATTTCGTGTCAAGACACCGCGGGACGGGGCGGCGGACGACTATTTAAAGAGCTCTTTTGATGTAAAAATACGAATATATCGACTGCGTGTCTCTCTGTGTTTACCTCTCTGCGTGTGCTCCGGGGCGGTGTGCGCTCTTCTTCGTGGCGGGCAAATCACGAAAATTGATTACATGACGAACGATAATGTTGAAATGCGTTTAATTATGGCGACACGAGCACGAACCACGAAACACTCGAAACGTACACGTCGGCATGCGCGGACTGAACTTCATTGACGGCCGGACGAGCGGCCGGCCACGCGCATTCAGAAGAAGCGAAGAAGTAGAGGAATGCAATTTACCGTAGTGGAAGTAGAAGCCGCAAACGCAATACTACATTCTTTCTCGTCCATTCAATACATTAGCTCTGTGTGTGTGTGTGTGTTTACATAGCGCTGCGAATTACTTGAAATAGAAATACGAAAAAAAAAAGCGCGACTTTGTTCAAACTTTTCGATTTCCTTGAATTCCGCGCGTAGAGATAATAAATCGGCGAGAAGGTCGGGCGCCTTTTTCGCGATCCGCATGCACAATGCGCATGCATGCGCGCCGTGCACCTGAGTCGTGTGATTCATACCGCAAGCCGGCTTTTATCTCGTGCGCGTTGCATCGATCCCACTTTGATTTAGTTATCAAAATGATTCATATTACGGTCGCAATGGTCGCGTCGCGTGGCACACTTGCAACAATCGCCGGCTATTTTTATCGATGCACGCGCCGCCGCCTAGCACCCTGTATAGTTTTCGCGAAGTGAAACGCCGGCATGACAAGGCGGTTCGGCGCGCGCGGCGATAGGATGTGACCCGGATGCATATTAGAAATTGCGCGCTGGGCGAAGAGACCGACCGAAGAGCAGCAAGCAAACGTCCTTTCTTTCTTTCACCAAAACGACGCACCGCGGCAATTCGCACGCAATTAACGCGATAAAAAAACCCAACGAAATACCAGCGATGTTACGCGTAGCATCTATTAGAATTAATAATAAATCAAGCGCATACGTCGTGATGAATTCTCATGAGTCAGAAATTTCTTCTAAACAGTTTGCGTCAACCGTTACGTGCGCGCTAGCGTAAACAAACTCGGTAGAAAACGATAAAATGTTTACGAAATCAACTCACCAAATGAAAATCTAAGCCAAGTACCCCTTACACGCCCACCAGTTCTCGTCGATCTGATGTCGTTCTTAAGGACGAACACTGCACGGCACGATAAGGACTAATCGAGAAGCGCGCGACACGTTAACATCCGCCACATCCGGACAAGATCAAACGACTGAATCCGGTTCGGTGTACGGCGCGCGTAACAAGTAAATGAGCTACTAGCGACTAGAGGCACCGGCGACGACTAATGCGGCCCCGCTAAGCCGAAGTGCCGAACCGCGGAGGAAGAAGAGTCGCGCCGCAGCCGCAGCCACAGCAGCCAGCCAGGCAGCGCCGTCTTGCATTCGCGGCGCGTACGCGGGCGTGCAACCGAACGCAAGTTGCTCGCAGCGGCGACGTCATCGACTTCCGGCTTCCAGAGGGGCGTAGACGTCTGCTCGCTTCGATTTCCGATAGCGCACGCCGGGACGCAACGCGACGCACGCGGCGCGCGCGCTCACACACGAAAAACGCACCGCGCCCGCCGTCGTGGCCGATTTGATACAAACAAACATATGGCCTATCCGACGAAACATGGGGTGCATTGCATTTTCAGGGGGGGCGCGCGCACGACGCACATGTTTCCACCCGACACGTTTACAGCTAATATTCATTAGTACATTTCACGTTCATTTATGGGTAAAAGCGGCAAGAAAAAGTCTGAGTAACGAATCATGCATGAATTAAATGACACAAGCCAAGAAAATAGGGGTTGAAGGGATACGTAGAGATGTGATCTGCGAGGTGTGTACGATTTTCGGGCAGACAGCATCGCCATCCCCAATATTTCGCTCGTTCCGCATGTGCATGCGATGATGATGCGACGACGGCAGGCCGAGGCGGCGGCGGCGGCGGCTAGCAGCATGTGGTGTTCGTGCATGCGCCGGCGGTGTGCGGTCGGGTATCGAAATAAAATTTGACGGGCGGAGGTCGACGACCCTCTGACGGCCGTCCGCGCATTTAAAATCATCGCGACAATAATAATAATCGCAACCGTGCCGGCGGTGGCTGCGACGGCGGCGCCGGAGAGGGGGTGCACTTACTGTCATCTTGTAGTTAAGTTTCCTGGCGACGTTGTCCATGCGAACGGCCATCGCTGCGGCGCGCACACGAGCTCGCGCGATTTGTTTACGTTAGTTGCTTATTTTTGTTTTTATCACAGACAGGTTGTTAGCGCGGCGCAATATACAAATGGGGTGTGTCCCTGTATCAACACGCCGCCGTCATGGGCACGGGGCACAACTGTTACGGCCGTCGCGGCGCGCACCGGAGCCCTTCTTCGCAGTTCGCGAATCGGTCGGCACGAGAGCGCCGTCAAAGGTCCATCGGCGCGGATGCAGTCGCATTCGGCGCGCCTCACCCCTGCGTCCTGTGGAAGGTAGGCGATAACAACACACACGGCGCGGCACGACGCAGCACTTGCTCGCGTCCGATCGGAATGCAATGACTAGCGGACACAGGCCCGTGTCGGCTGCGACTATCGACGTGCGAAAAAATCTTCACGCCACGGCGCAACCGAGAATTAATGGAATCGCCACTCCCCACGCGCACGCACACACTACGCGGACACCATCTTGCGCTGCTATGCGCTCGACGGTCGGCGCGACTCACACACGGCGCAGCCAGGCTGCGCTCGGCGCATTCGAGGGGCGAGTTCGCGAATCGGCCGCGAGCGGCGCGCACGCGCCGCCAGTTTCGCACGGTGCCCGCGTCTCGTGTGTGTATGCGTGTGCCGCCCGCCGCCTGCCCGCTTGTGGGCGTTCGCACATTTACGTCACCCAATTCGAAGTGTGCGCCCGCAGCACCAAATTCAAAAACTGCATCGCGTCTCCAATTACCCTCGCGGCGGACACACTGTGTACGCGCATCGAAAACAAAAGAACGCTCGCTTTCCATACAAGAAAAAATATTGCGAACGGCACATTCATTCATAATACGTGTGTCCTGCGCTGAAATAAAAACTCGCACGCTGGTGGTACGCCGCTTTTGTAGCATTGAGAGCAGCGCGCCCGCAAATATTGATTTAATTATACGTGCAGCATGCACATGCACACACAACGCACAAGAAAATTTCCTGATTAAATTCACGCTGCGATAACGACGCCGAAGCGAAATGAATTGTGTGTGTGCATAGGCGAAATAGTTGCGATGGATTTTTCCTCGATGCGCGCGCGAGAGAATTGCGATGAAAAGAAGAGACGCGTCGTCGTGGGCGTCAAACGATTCATCTCTTTGGTGGCTATCGATTTTCGTCGGGGCGGCGAGAGAGACGCGCCCGTCGCGCTAAAGGGGCATGCGTGCCGCCCGCCCGCCAGCGCCGCCGACGACGACGAGCAGCCAGCGTCGCCGCCGATAATAAAACGTTACAAGCAAAGAAGCGAAACGCAAAAAGGACGCCGCCTTCACAGTCATTCACTGCAACGGAGAAACAAAAGACGAAAAGAATGCGTCGCAGCGCGTTCTAAATGCGTCGCGGAATAACACAATATTCGGGGGGGGCGCATCATGCAAGAAAAGAGGAAATGCGTTTTTGTCGGTGTGTGTGGTTTTTCCAGACGGGCGCGACACCCACCCGGCGCACAAAAAGGGGTGCACCCTAGTCACAGACGAATCTAGGGGTGGTAGGTAGTAAACGCGCGCGACGGTGTCGGGCTATTAATAGCATGGCGACAAGGTAAAAACACACGTGCACACATGTGGTATGTTAATTTCGTCGGCGCGACTGCAGACACCCCCGATGCTTAAAACCACAAGAAGACGCCAACATGTTGGCATCGTTATGAAAGTTCATCAACTTCGCAATCGGAGCAAATATTTTTTCCATTTTCCTTCAGATATCAATAAATACATGCCCGATACGCACCGAATGTGTGCACAGCGATGACGCTGGAAATGTGTGTGCACTGGCGGAGATAAAATTCCGACCAAAGTACCATTTCAGAATTAAAGCCAGCACACACACGACGCTTTGTGTGCGCGCGCGCGCGGTTATTATTAACTTATCTAACGCGCTGATAAGATCCCGGCCGTGCTCATGTTATATTGATATTGTATAATTCATTCATTTCGTGGAAGCGCCGCAATAATGAACTCACGCGTTCGAGCAGCATGCATTGTCAGGGACTTCCCAATTGACGAAATTCAAAAACAAAACCGAGGAAAGCACAACAGCACAAAGCGGCTAATGAACAACACACATTTCAGCGTTCAGCGTGTTTGCATGCATGACAATCATTTAATTTTACACTCTTGAAAACAAAAATAAACGTTGACTGGAGAGGATAAAGATGATTGTTATTCTTATATTCGGTGTATTGTCCGTCCTCCCGCATGAAAAAATTGATCGCGGCGATAAAATCGAATTAATTCATGTGGGGTGCAAGTGGGGGGGCGAAGAAAAAAAATGCTGGTCTGGTTTGTGAGCGTGAAATCAACGCGGCGCATTTCCACGGGGCGAAAAATCCGTCGATTTTTAATGAAACTTCCTCTCTTTGCGCCACATCGGGGGGGGCCTCGCGCGCGCATACGGATTTGAAGAGTGAAAGAGGACGACGGAATAAGGCTACGACGTGACCTAGCATATCCCATTGAGCTTTCTCCGACGCGCTCCGGCGTACAAGATCAGGGTACATTCAATGCGAGCGGCGCGGCGCGCACACAGCGGAGAGACGAGCCGCGATATACACTCTCCGCGCGTCCGTACGCACGGTGCACGGTTGTAAACGAAACGGCGCAACGAGGTCGATGACCAGACGACCGGCTCGCACATGACACAGAAAGAGATGCAGCGCGCCCCGCCGTCAGCAGCAGCAGCAGCCAGCCAGCGGAGCCCGACACTCGATATTATAAGCATTTTCGTATTGTTTATGCCAATTTCGAAGCGGAGCAGGCGAAGCGCGCGGTGTAAGACGCTCGAAGAGGGCGACCTCCATCTCATTGGACCAACAATGCGTTTGGAGAAATGCGCCGAGGTAAATCCCACGAACTTGTTAAGGCACCTGCAAGGCCGTGGGCTGTATTCAACATTTTCCAGAGGCGCGCGCGCGGCGCGTTGACAAATTTGATATATCTCTCATCGGTGTGCGCGAAATATCGATTGAATAATTGCGAGAGATTCGTGCGGCGCGCAAGGCCGCCGTATCGAAATAATTCATTGCAATGGCATGACCTTATCGAAATAACGACCAGTTGGTGCGGCGTGTGGCTGCTCTTCGCGCACGCCAAACAGGAATCTCCGCGCGCGCGTCGTGGGTGTGTGTGTTTGCGAACTGTTGCGTTCGATAAACGTTTTTGCGCGTTTACCCGATTTGAGGTACATAATGCAAATATGCGCGGCGCCGGCCGTGATTCATCATCATCATCAGCATCGACTGCGTTCCGTCCTCATATGACAAAGTGAGGTTAGGGGCAGCCGCCGTTGGGAAAGAGAGCCGAAAACCCCAAACGCAAGGCCGTCGCGTCGCAATTAACGCTCGACTGCTTGCACACTGTGTATGCGTGTGTATGTGGTGTGTGTGTTTTTTATTTTATTTTGTGCAATCTGCGGCGCAATAGAACTCGCGTGTGGAAGGCCGCCAAATGAAAACAAAGTGAAAGAAAAAAAAAATAGCGCAACGCAGTGAGGATCGATTTTTGTCGTTTGACAACACGGGCGCAAAACAAACGCGCGCATCGGTAAACAAACAAGCGCCGAGCGATAAACAAATCGCCGCTAGCGCTGTGTGTTGGGCAACAATCGCGGCGGGTTGTTTTGTTTGATTGCGAGAGATGGTGTCGCAAAAAAAAATCCGCAGCGCAGCAAAAAATCGTTTCGGGTTGAGGTAGGCCATGTCGGCGCACCCACACCACTCATACGGAATGCATTATACATGTACATATGCATTATACATGCACAACCCGGCGAATTCGGCGAAAATAAATGCGAAATACGAATGATGATGAATGTACCTTGTGTGCGCGAGGAGTCGGCGTCGACGATGACGACGACGGCGGTGACAACGTCAGCGGTGGGTTTTGCGATGGGTGTTGGTGCCGATGCGTGCATGCGTTGCGAAAGGCACTTGGTGGCGATGGCACGCGCGTTTACGTCGGTCGTGAGCTGTGATCGTCGTCCTCCTCGGTGGATGCGCTGGCGGTGAACTGACAGAGAGTTGCGGCGCAGGACGCGGCGGAAAAAAAAAACGGTCGAACGTCGCCGCCCTGCGTGCGTGCCAACTTTTCACCGTCGTCGACACTTTTCGATCTCTCGCAACGTACGCCCTCGACGCGATCGTTTCGGGAGGCGCAGGCTACCGTCGTGTCGCGATGGATGCGTGTCTCGGCGAGATTGCACCCGTCTGCTGCTGGGGAAGACCGGAGTGCGACTTGTCATCCGCTCGCGCTGCTTGCGGGTTTGGGAGTGCTCGCAGCGCTTGCGACGTCACGGCATCCACTACATGAACCACTTCGAAACAAATGACGGCGCCACCGATCTTAATTTTCGTCGTAATTACGCTGGTTTCGAACGTAAAACGATGACGTTACTCTTTATGAATATCCTCCTTAGCGATCATTACCGTTTTTATGCCGAAACATAACAAATTAAAGCGATTTACTTATCAATTTGCGCGTTTTATCAGAGTTTCGGACGTGCTCGAAAGTGACACGATATGACGCCGAAAACAAGCGAATTAGGCGCAAATTTCAGCCACACTCACCTCGAGGGGATTCCTGCGTACGATCACTGCCACTTTCACCACCTGCCGGTCTCTTTGCGACGATTTTCAAGCACTTTTCGGCGATTTTGCGACCGCTTCGAAGTGGGATTGCATTCCTGCGGGGCGTTGCGCAGCTTGTGGCGATGTGCGGAACTAACCGACAGTAGCGAAGATAATGGCCGACGAAGGAACCAGCGAGGTTAGGCCGCAGTTCGGCAATCGTTATCTACTCGACGAAGAGGACGTCTTCGCGCATAATGCTTGGTACGCACACTTTATTTCGTTCACTAGCTGCGCTCCGGTTGCTGCGTGCGTGTCACACTCGTTACCGCAAGAAACCGATGCACGGCGAGCGCTTTCTCGTCGAGCAGTCGCGAGTGTTTGACTTCAACGCGTGGTATGCAACCAAACGTACACATTACTTAAATTTTCATACTTTTCTCATCGCAGGGACGACGTCCAATGGGACGAAGAGCAGGAAAATGCAGCGAGGGAGAAAGTTTCACACAACGGAATCGTGAAATTCTCCAGTGGAGATTTAGAACAACTTGAAACAAACGCAGATAAACATTGGGACGCGTTTTACGACATTCACACGAATAGATTCTTCAAAGACCGACACTGGTTGTTCACAGAGTTTCCGGAACTCAAGGACGAAGCCAACAAAGTTATATTTGAAGTTGGTTGCGGTGTAGGCAATACAATATTTCCAATCTTACAATATTCCAAGGACCGAGAACTTTTCATCTACTGCTGTGACTTTAGTGCGAAAGCAATTGATATTCTTAAAGAAAATCCCGAGTACAATAGTAAAATATGCAACGCTTTTGTCCTGGACGCAACGGAAGACAATTGGAACCCACCCATTCCGGAAAACACCGCGGATGTAGCTGTGCTAATTTTGTTTTATCCGCGATACATCCTGATAAGTATGATTTAGTAATATTAAATTTCAAAGCAACACAAAAACTAAAATTTTTACTTTTAGGTTTCAGTCAGTTGCTAGACAACTTTACCGCTTTTTGAAACCAGGAGGAATTTTATTATTCCGCGACTACGGCCGTTATGACTTAGCACAACTGCGATTCAAGCCGGGACGCTGCCTCGGCGAGAATTTCTACGCACGCGGAGACAACACACGAGTATATTTCTTCACACAGGAAGAAATACGCGAAACATTTAAGAGCGCTGGGTTCGAACAAGTTGATAATCGTGTTGATCGACGCCTCCAGGTGAACCGCGGCCGCATGCTGAAAATGTACAGGGTGTGGATCCAGGCGAAATTCCGCAAACCGATATAAAACCGACTTAAGTTTATTCAGCACTCTTTTGTTTTCCTTGTGTTTCAACCTCAAATTCAGAGATAGAGAGATAGAGTAAACAATAATCACATTACCATGTACAAAACTCTATAAATTCAGTTAGGTTTAATTTTGTTCCAGCATGCATTTGGTGCCTGTGTCACACAGTTATGAGTTATGAAGTATGCAATGAGTTCATTTCTACACTTTTATCAATGATTCAGTCCTAGGTTACAATAAACTGTGCGTTTTACGATTACAATGCACACACGTATGTAATTAATTCAACAAAAAATAAAAAAATAAAACAACAAAAACTAAAACGTTGTGTACTGCAGGTCACAATTGTGCTTTGGTACCAATACACCAGGATTTCATCAAACAAATTCGATTTGATCAATGCTTTTTTTTTTGTGTGTGCGAATGTTGAAAATATTCGAATGACTAAATTCACTAAAACAAATTTGATTGCATCAAATTGGGGGTATGATGTGAAAATGTTTTAGAATTTCATTTGTGCGCTTTTCTTGGGCGCGTTTTCCCGAAAGCAATGGACAACACAACACCGCTACTCTACTTAAAACCTAGGTACGAGAAGGGAGTGCGCGCGCACGCGCAGCAAAACTTTGTACACGGTGCTGGGCGGCGGCGCGCACCCCACGCGGTTCTCTCAATAAATAATCTCTGAATAATTTCCTCTCGAATATAAATATCTTACTCGTGTCTCCTTAAATATATAAATCTACTAGAAAATTTTAATAAAACACTCCTGCGAGCCACGCACCTTGCGCGTTGCTCGCTTCTGCAATTTGGTGTATTGACTGTAAACCGTTTTGTGTTTTGTTTAGAATATCAGTACGGGACAGTTGATTTCGTTACAAGAGGGACGGAGGCCACGGACATTTTGCATGTGAATGTGTGTGCGCTTGCGCGCCACGGTTTGGTCTAGATGGCTTTCTGCATGTATGCAGAATGCACGCTCTCGCAGACGAATTTATATTGACTCTGTAAGCAAAGAGAAACATATGTTTTTTTGTGTGTTGTTTTAGTGGTGATATGGTGAGACTTACAGCATTCTGGATCATCATGGCGCGCTGTTCGCGCATGGTGCGAACAATACTGAGTGGATAGACGGGTTGGCCGGCTTCCATAAGGCACATTGCAGTCTCCATGAGCACGAGCACGCCGGTACGACCAATGCCGGCGCTGCAATGCACGACCACCGGTGGTGAGCCAGTGGAGCGCTGTCGTGCATCACGCACGCGCTCGGTGAACGCGAGAAACTGCGACGGCGAGTCGGGCACGCCGTGGTCCGGCCACGCTACGTATTGCATATGGCGGATGGTGCGCTCGTCGTTCGTCTTCAACGCAAACACAACTTATTAACTCACTAACTCAGAATTTATGAATATTTCACTTGCATTAAATTAATACCATGCATGATTTTCATCGGTTGTAAATAAAAATTTATAAAAATAACTTTACCTTATTGTCGGTGAGGAGAAAATCCCTAAACACAAAACTGCCCGAGTCGTCGGTTTGTTCTGCGGTGCATTTAATCGTAACATTGGTGAGCGACAATGTGTCGTTCAGACTAGGCCAGTATTTTACGCATTTCGCTCGCCCGCGTTCGATGACTGTCGTTAGCATGACGATGAGATCACAGCCGCCTTCCAGCACCATCTGCCAAAAGTCCTCAATCGTGTTCTGGAGCGGACCTTGCGTTGCAATGTAGTTATTCACGACTTCGCTGTTCGCTATCACCATGTTCACATAGTTGGCGTTAATGTAATCCCCAGTCGGTGAGTTATTCACAATCACTCTGGTCGAATCATCTAACAAAACAAATTTTTTAATGAATAATTCACGCGTTAAACATTCAACTTACAAGGTGAAATGTCGCGATAACGATTCTTGTTGACATTTTTCGGCTTGGCGGCTTCATCGCATGTTAAATCCGGATGTTTACGATACAATAACTCATATTGTGAGATAAGCGCACCACTGCCCAGCCCGTCCGCCAGCAGAAGAATACTTTGCTCCAAAGCATTGCTCGGCGATGGCGGGCGCAGAATTTCATCAACGGGTACATATTGATAGGGTGGCTCTTCGTATTCTTCATCGACAATACCATAGAGGGCGTTCGGACGCACGACAAGTGTAAGTTTACCACCGTTCAAGTCACGCGCCTCGTGGATGATCGCAACAACATCGGCGTGCAACGCATGCAGAACATCCTGCCCGTTGATCATCAACAATTGATCGCCTTCGGTGAGTCGCGGATTGCATTTATCCGCAGGTGTGTTGGTGGCGACTCGTGAGACCACTATGGGTACATCGCGCGTCGTGCCGCCTTTCACATTAAAGCCGTACTTGCCCATCTCGTCGGGGAAGATGACGATGGTGACGAGGCCATCATCGGGTGCGCTTTGTGAGACCGGCGAGTGGCTGGCGCTGTACGGCGGGGTGTCGTACAGACCATTCGAGGTCGGTGATGGGGGTTCCTCATCGGCGTAGCTCAACACTCGACCGGCTAGGCCAGGCGAGAAAGGGCCTTCGATAGCGCAGTCGAGGAAACCGCCATCGCTGCGCATGCAGAAATATTTTAGAAATGAGTAATAGAAACTCATTTTTAATCAGAAAGATAAAATATCAAGAAAAATAAAATAAAAAATGACAGATGACAACTTACTCGTCAGATAAATGCGTGTTTTCCGCCCAGGCTTTTCTCGGCTCTTTCGAACCGAGAGATGTCACTTTATTGTCGTATGGGCGTGGAGGACGAGCTGGTGCCGGTAGAATTTTACCTTTGTCTTCCAATGCTGGTGGAGGCGATGCTTTGATCTATAATTTTATATAAAACAGTAAAAAAACGCTTAATATAATAATAAAAACGTACGAAAGTTTTGCTAGGCGATCGAACAAACTTCCTCTCGAGTTTACCGCGTTGCTTAACATCCGCCACGGTCTGAAACTCCGTCCGCCCGGAGTACGTAAACTTCGAGCCCAGCGAAAGCGGAAATCGACGGCGGACTTTCGGCGAGTGCAGCCGAAAGAACGTGTGATGCTCCACGCACGCCTTCCACAGCGTCTTCGACGATCTGTACGTCTCCATGTTAAAACCCAGCAACGTATCGTAGTTCTCCGACTGCACACAATCAAAATCAACATATTTTCAATAAAAATTTTCATTAAAACCTACCAATTCACGGCGTAATTGAATGAAGAACCGTTTACGCTTGAAGGAGATCTTCATGATCTTCGACCATGAGAACGTATTGATGCGAACACAGTTTTGGAACACTACTAGTCCAATGGAAGTCACGCCGAGGCAGATTTCTTTGTCATGGTTATCCTACAATCACAAATTAAAAATCATTTTATATAAGAAAATTGTATTAAAGTGTACCTTAGCTTGGTGTAACTCAACACCGTACATGTCAACGCGTTTCGCGTGGTCTAAAAAGTTGAATTCTGCGTCAGCTGGTAGTTGACCCCTGTGACACAATAATATTTATAGTTTAATACATAATCGATATGAAATTATTTGATTGAAATTTACTTGTGCAGTTTATGTAGTTCAGAAATCTTGCGTTCAAGATCTTCGTTTTGGCCGGGGACAAGTTTCAAATTAGATAGGTAATTGGCAGCGTGTTCGTCAGGTTGATAATCGCCCAATTCAGCTAGAATAATCATAAATCATAAATTGATTCAGCATATGCATTGATGATTCACCCATTGGTGAATTACTAATTTATCGAATTGATAATTTACTCACATTGAACAATGTAGCTGGCCAAAAGACACGCCGTGGACGGCGGTAGATGCAAACGCGATTCGAGAATATCGCGCCGCACCTGCAGGTAGAACTGATAGCGCGTGTATTCCTCCTGCAGTTTACTGGGATCATTTACGTAGAACTTGACGCGAAAATGTAGCACTTTCTCAGCACAACCCCCAAGTTGTTTCTTGATGGATTTATTCAAATCCAACCAACGCTGTTTATTTATGTATATAATTAATTAATATTTGTTTAAAATAATTTATTCTTTGGCTTACCATGCATTCAGGTTTGTTGTTCATGGGAGTGCTGCCATTCTCACTGTATTGTAGGCCAAAGTAATCCTTCTCCACCAACTCCAGGTGCTGGTAGACTTGGTCGAGCAACTGCTGACCCTTTGCGCGCTTCTCCACATGAAAGACGTGCTCGGTGTCGTCGAGAAAGAGCACCTTCAGATCGAATCCTTTGAGTGTGCGGCCGCGCTCGGCGGCGAGTTCGAGCGCGTGCACATTGTAAGTGCCGCTGGAGCTTCCGAAGGTGCGCTCTATCATCTCGTGGACGGACGCGACGGTTGAGCGGCGATGACGACAGATACCTCACCTTGGTGCTCTGTAATTCACGATCGTTCGTGCGTGATTAGATGGATGTACGCATAGTGTCTAGCGACGGTCAGCGCAGCGACTGTGAGGTTAAAACAAATGAGGAGCACTCACCGTTGGCGGTTGTTTAGCGCTGAGGCGCGCTCGCGTTCATGTGAATGCGAAGCCGTCGCACGGGATTCGGAACTATCTCGTTGGTTTCACTGATAACGAATGCGTATCCGCGCGCATCTTGCGGCGGTCAGACGTGCATGGTGTAGGTCCGCGCGCGCCGTCCGAGAAGTTGATTACGCGACCGCCACCAGCACACACCGCGGCTGCTCTCTTCAGCTGCGCTTTGTCCGCGTTTATCAGGCGCACGCGATCATCGTCCATGCACCGCGCACAGCGAGAGCTGACAGAGCTGACACTGCTGACAGCCTTTGTAGGTGTTGAGCGGCTCTGATCGCCGAGACTCTGTCACCGAATGTATACCATAAGTATAAGCGTGAAGCGCTTGCATGCGCGCGCACGATTCGACTCGAACCACTCGAATGTACACGAATCAGAAGAGTAGCGACAGCAAAACTCATTGCAAGAAATAAAAAATTATCAAAATTACGGAAAAGAAAACTTTGTGTGATTAACGTTTAATTTGTATTTTAATAGATGTTTCTATTATAAAAGAAGTGAAGAGTAATTAAGTAAAATATCTCTAAGAGCGAAAAACTAACAAACTAACAACTTGTTGTTTTCATAAATACATTACACTGTCGCCACCTTGCGGTTGATTTTAGAGTTATTAACCAAACATAACCCCAATTATACTTCACGTGTTCGTTTACTTGCTTTCATTTAGTGTAAATAACGTGGTTTGCTTGTTAAAGACTTCAAAACTATTGCTAGTGAATAAATTCTTGTTTAAAATAATGAAGACTAAAAACCAGGATACCGCAGAAGGTTCCCCACCCAAGAAAGCAAAACTTTCCACCCCTGCAAAGCCGAATAATAAATCAGTTAAAAAACCCGCACAGAACACCGGTGGTAAAAAGTTTGAAAAGTCCAACAAAAATGCCGCAAACGCGAATAGCAAGTTTAATAAGAACCCAAAACCCCCATATGATAAAGTAAAAAACGCAAAGAATGCCAAAGGCGCGCTGCAAGAGAAACCCGCCGACTGGAATGAGTTTAAAAAGGAGAAGAAAGAACTCCGGCTGAAGCGCAAAGCCACCCGTAGTCTCATCGACGTCATCACCAAGGCGAAAGCAATCGGTGAACAAATCCGCGTGAAGAAGATGGAAGGCGAACAGCGCACGAAACTTATCAAGGAACTGCATCAACTGCTTGGAAATCAGGGGAATTATGTTAAGTTTGTTCTTTCACATGATATGGCCAGGATTGTGCAGTATATGTTAAAGTTTGGTTCTGCACAAATTAGAGATGAGATATCTTCAGTAAGTTTATCAAAATTATAATATTCAAATGTGTAATGCATGATTTGACTTTTGAATTCAGGAAATTATCCCATCCACCGTCATAATGCTACAGTCAAAATACGGAAAATTTGTCGTCAAGCGCATGTTGAAGTACAGCAATCAAGAAATTCGCTCGAAATGCATCCAGGCCTTCTACGGGAATGCCGTGAAGCTCTGCACTCATGCAGTGAGCGCTCCTGTGTTCGAATACGCCTACAGCGAGTTTGCAACGCCGGCGGATAAAGTAAACTTGATCCAAGAATTCTTCGGCGATGTGTACAAGCAGACGAAGGACACCAGCGTTAAGCACCTGCGGGATGTATACAAACACAGCAAAGACATCAAGGCGGCTGCGCTGAGCACAACCAAAGCAAACCTGCAACGAATATTAAACAAAGATTTACTGGATTCTGGTCTTGTGCAGACTGTGATCGCACAGTTTTTGAGCGAGTGTAACGTTGAAGATCGCACTGAGTTGATCTCACAATTATCCCCGCATATTGTTGTTTTGAGTAACAGTAAAGACGGTGCTAAAGCCGCCATGGTTTGTTTCTGGCATGGAACAAATAAAGATAGAAAAGTAAGTACATTGTTTATTGATCACGCAAAACGACAAATTTAAATATTTCCGAGCAAGTTTTTTGTATTACACAAGTGAATTTGTGGTTAATGTTTAAATTTGGGGATCTGGATGAGAAAAGCGGACAAGGTGACGTGACGTTTAAGCTGGATCAGCGGGATCCATCTTCTTTTCCTTCTTAGCGGCGCGTGCGCGCTTCTTTTTCTGCTTGTTGGGTCGTGCTGTTGGTTTTTTCACCGGCGTGACCACGACCTTTTTGGCGGCGCACTTCTTCTTTGCCGCGGGCTTCGCACATTTTCTAAGTGCATCCGCGTATTTACGCTTGCGCTCTTCGTATTTGCGCGTAATATATGCGGCTTTCAGCGAGCGGAAGGTTCGTATAAAGCGTATATAACGCGTACACCTCTTGCAGAGTGGTTTCTGCGGAGCAGAATCGGGTGCTCTTGGCGACATGTTTTTCTCAGAAAACGGTAGATTTGTGTGAATCAACGTTCGACAATTTTTTTTATAATACACAAAAACAAAAAATGCACAAACAAATTTACACAGGCGACTAGTTTTTCTTAAAATTTCTTAAAAAATTCATGCTTGGCCATGATTTTAACTTATTTTGTTTCCAGGCAGCAATGAAAGCAATCAAAGAGCACGTAGTTGAGATGTGCAAACATGAACACGCTCACACCGCAATTATCTGTCTGTTGGACTCAGCTGACGACACCGTGTTGTTAAACAAAGCCATCTTGGCCGAGATAATCAACAAATCCGAAGAATTAATTGTCGACGATTGGGGCCGACGTGTATTGGCATGGATTGTCGCTCCCGGCGACCGCAAACAGTTTCATCCTCAGTTTATAAACGAACTGGAACAAGGTAGAAAGGAATCTACCTGTAAGAAAGACACAGAGGTGCGTCGCAAGGAAATCATCGATCATTGCGCCAAACCCCTCCTGCAGAAAATCGCCGAGTTGCCGAAGACGTGGTGTCTGGATGCCAAAGCTCTACTCGTCACTGCGCAAGTGCTTAGGAATGACACAGTGATGGAGAATGCCGGCGAGGCATTCAAAGGTTTCGCTCAGCTTGTAGTTGAAGAGGTGCAAGCAGATGGACAGCTGTACATCGAGAACAGCGGTGTTAATATGTCGCTTAAAAAGTTGATCCAGAATGACAAAAATATTCAGGGTGATGATACTCTTGGCGCAGCAATCGTCAACTGCTTAACTGATGATATTGTAAGCACCATATTAAAAATAGTTTATTGTTGATTGCCTAATCATCTGTGGTTTGTTTCAGGTTCAATCTTGGGTGAAACTGAACAGAGGCTGCTTCCTCCTGGCTGACATCTACTCAAACAACAAGCTATCCACACAGGAACAACTTAAAACACTTCTAGAACCCTGCGTGAAATTGCTGAAGACACAAAAGACGAAAGGATCCGAGATTCTGTTGAATAAACTTGCTTAAGTTGCAATCATTTTTCATAATAAATTTCACAAACAAAATCCACGCGTTTTCATGTTTATAGTGCCTAATTATTTACTAGTTTCTATCTAAGAATAAAACAAATTAATCTTTAAATAAATCTTTGACATTTACTGATGTCAGGGTGCCACTGGCACTCTTATTCTGCTCCTGAGTGGCACTCTTGAATGCACTGGTCAATGCACCATCAAGATCATCTTTGCTTTCAGCCATTTGTGCTTCCCTTTCCTTCTTCAGGATATCCAATGCTTCTGTATACAGCTGATCAGACTCACATTGTCCTGCTCCATATTGACCCTCTAGTTTTTTATAGGTTTTAATGAATTTCTGTGTGAAACTTGGTGTGTGTTGATTCAGTAGATGTACTGTTCCTACTCTGCCTAGATTTTTGTGCAGCTGACTGCAAAATAACCAATAATTACACTTGATTTAATAAAAAAAAATTGATGTAAAGTGATTTACGCTCTGATTTTGTCTGCTTCATAGAAAATTTCTTTAATCTGCATGTTGGGCACTGGTCGATCATAACGCGGTTCTTCTTTGGGTGGAAAAGCTTCATAGACATCAAACCACAGTGGCCTTTCAGTGTATTGTAAGGCTCCTGACTGAATTAAACCTCGAGTCCTGTGAAGTTCTCTTTTGATTAAAACTGTTTTATGAAATGATTGTTAAACGTACCTAGTGTAAATTGTTCCGATCTTTTCTAATCTGCTATTTGCCATTATTATTAACTAATTGTATAACAATGATCTTAGTTATTTCTTGCGTTTTGCTTAAGAATCTTGGTTAAATTCACGTTTAATTATGATTTGGATGTGAGGTTACATAGCAAGAGGTAAGAAGTGGGAGAAAACAAAAAGTATGAAATTCAAATTGATATTTGAATTTAAACGGAAATATCTTGCGATTTCTTTAATAAAAACGTGTAATGTAATCTGTGAGCTGATATTAGTGTGTACTGGAAACAAAAAACAAGAATACACATTCTTTTCTTCTGGATAAAGTTAATTACAAAGTCTTAGCGACACTCAAAAACAATACGCAAGACAAAGAACAAAGTTTGCAAACTATCGCACACCGTAAACGTACGAAACGCGTTTTGCAAAAAGGCGCGAGCTTACCGGTACCAGAGTGAAGAAAAACACGTGCTCGTCTGTACGAAGTTAACGATTAACATCCATCATGCTCGACTTTGTTCATTCATTAAGGGCGCTGGCCAAATTGGAGCAAGTCCACACGGATAACCACGTATTCAAACTGCATTACAAGTTTACCGCATGCATTCTGCTCTTCTTCTCGTTGTTGCTCACCTCCAAGCAATACTTCGGCGATCCGATCGACTGCAAAGTGGACATCGCCGAGAAATCTCAGGTGAACACTTTCTGCTGGACTCATGGCACCTACATCCTGCTTAAAACCCAGCATAAAAAATGTAAGTAACATTGATTAAATTATGTTTCAAGATGTTTAAAGACACATTTTCATTCTTAGATGGACTTTTGAGTGGCTTGGGAACTCCAGTACCTCCTGCTACACCTCATGATCAAAGATATCCGGCCACCAAGACCAACAACAATGGTTTCATTGTCCAGAAGTATTACCAGTGGGTGTGCATGTTCTTCTGCTTCCAGGCACTGCTATTCTACATTCCTCACTATCTTTGGAAGACTTGGGAGGCTGGCAGGATGAGACTGCTGGTGAAGGATCTTGGTGGACCTCTGGTTACATCCAACTGGAATAACGAGAACAAGATGCGGATCGTGAACTATTTGATATGTCGCAAATATGCTCACAATTACTACACGCTCAGGTTCACTTTGTGTGAAATTCTAAACTTTTGCAATGTTGTAAGTTTTTTTTTTAAATCAAATTTAATTTTAAAATGCAAATAGTGATAATGCAATATTTTAAACAGTTCTTACAAATCTTCCTCACGGATTGGTTACTCTCTGGATATTTCATCACTTATGGCTATGACCTGCTGGTACAAACCGATATCAATCCAATGACGCTGGTGTTCCCGAAGTTGGCGAAGTGCGAGTACCGCTTCTACGGCATGAGCGGCAGCGAGCAGAACAGCGACGCATTGTGCCTCCTGCCGTTGAACGTCGTCAATGAGAAACTCTTCATCTTCTTGTGGTTCTGGTTCCTGCTGTTGGCGATTCTCTCAGCGTATCAAATGCTGTACCGTTCGTGCATGTTAGTATCGCGCACCATTCGCGAGAAGATGCTGCGCGCGCGCTGTCGCTACCTCAGCCAGAAGACGACTGATATTATCATCGACAACTTCTCCTACGGCGATCTTTTCTTCCTTGACCTGTTGTCGAAGAACGTCAACCCGATTATCTACAAGGAGCTTATCCTTGACATCGCCAACGCCATGGCCGACCGCCATATTGGTTTCGACCCTGAGGTCACCGCCATTGTTGTCTAAGCGCAAAATTTGCTACTTTTTCTCGTTTAAATGTATAACAAATGTTACATTAGTTCTAGGCAGTTAGTGTTCTTGAAAGCAGGAGTAAGTCTGTTCATTTGACTTACCGACTGCTTTAAAGACATGCATATTCTACGATTCTCATATTTATTTTCTATTTGGAATAACTAACGTAATGAGATCTCAGTTGTTTTGAGATTGACTCTAGGTTTAGATACATTTCGAATACGATACGTATTTTTATATGTTCGAGCGAACCAAGACTGATCGAATTACCTCACGTTAAATGTGTTGCGATTTCTTTGATATATGCGAAGTTGTGATTCTCAAATCATTCCAGTATTAATATATTACAATTATGCAGCAAAGAGACGTGGAAATATAGTGCGTTTATTCACTGCCTATCAGATTCACATTGTTTTATTACTAAAAAGGGTTTACATTATCATTATTTTTAAAAGTAAGTGCATGAATACCAAAGCATAAATGATTCTATCAGCAAATTGCTTAACCAGAGCATCCTCTACAGCCACAGTGGACACACTCTACAATCCGCCCCTGTGCAATAAATTAAATTAGTGTAATGTTAACTTTTTAGAAATTTAGGACTTACCTCTTCCAATTTGCCTTTTGGTACTCTGCAAATGCAGTTAGTGCCAAAGTTGGTGTCTCTGGTTTGTATGCACCTAAGACAACATAGATTCTCATAGCCAGATTTTTTCCACTTGGCTATGAGGTTGGCATCTGCAATTTTCTCATCAATGCAGAAATTATACAATTCCCTGCTGATTGCTTTGCGTCTGTGGAATAAATCATAAATGTATCTGCTCTTCTGATGGTGCACTTTGAAGATGGGCCAGAGAGACTCCTGCTTGCGTTTGCCTTCGTGTGATTCCTTCTCAGCTAAGTAAAAAATTTGTTTGATTATCTTAAATGAAATGGATTTTTATGTTAAACATGTACCTCTTCTCATTTTTTCGTCCAGTTCATCCAGAGTCGGTTCGATTAGCTCCCAGCCTTCAGGAGGCTGCTTCTTGCTGCGTCGTACCTTAGGCATTTTATAAGAGGAAGTTAAATAATTATAATTTAGCAGTCAATTTTCGATGGTTGCACTTCAAAACTCTGCTTTATTTAATAGCAATCCAAAGTGTTTGTCAGGTTAAGTTGTGAGACTGACAGTCGAGCAGGCAGTCAGGCGGGCAGTCAAACGCAGTCCAGCGAGCAGTCAAACGCAATTCAGCGGGCAGTCTTCGCAACTTTGCACAGGATAATCATATTACCATCGATTGTAATGGTTTAAAATATATCAGAATTATAAACAAATTCCAAGGTAATCTGCACCACAAGTTTCTACAATAAACAAAAGAGTCTTTGGTTTAGATTATATTTCTTCATATGAAACACGTGTAAAAGAATCAAATACATTCTTGTATAAAACTGTTTGTAAAGTAACAATTATTCAATTCGTTGCAAAAGCACATTTCTCATTATAATCACTGTAAAATACAAATTACTTGCAAATATTTTGTAACAGGTAAGTATAAAAATAGTATGGCAGTCTTTTTGTCGTCAAATTTTGTCACAATTTTATACAATTGATAATTCTAGGCTTATTAACTACTATGTACATATTCATTAATCTCAGATTTCAAAGATATTAATCTAGTCTATAAACTACTAGGTATATCTTTACGTTAATCGTTTACCAAGGTACGTATCAAGGCACGACCTGCATAAGAAAATTATTTTGTTCGTTGCTCATTCTGTAGTAATAAAACCCAATAAAATCAAATTGGTTTGGTGTCAGTCTCGCTCTCATAGTTGCACTGGAACTGTTCAGCCAGAATAAATATATTCTGAGTGTCGAATTTACGCACCTGAATTAATCGAGCTTTGCATTAGTTGCTTTAATTCAGGATAAGATGAATTGCTGGAGCACAATTCGTTTTTTCCTGCGTCTGCGCGTTCTGCTTCAACGTCGGAGTCCTCACCGTCACTCACTGCGCGAATTTGCACCACCAATGGTCGGCGCTCTTCATCACAACTCGATTCTGACGATGATGTGCCATCCAGCTCCTCGATGTGTAGTCCCTGACGCAGCGACTTCATCACTAACTCATCATTCAGATCCATGTTGTTTGTGACGACCATATTGAATTTCGACTCGGAGATTGTCACCGAGACATTTTCGTCTTCGCTGCCTGATTTGAGACAAGGTATCACAAGTCGGCCATTACTCAAAAGTGCGTTGATATGCTGGCCATCAAGGCCGGCATTTCCAGCACGCCGATTCATGTTTGGTGCAAATTGCTTAGCGTCTAATACATTAAGCAGCTGCTGGCCGAAATGCGAGTCTAAACTGGTACTGCTTTCGCGTTTACTACCACCCTTGCTAAGTTTCTTACCCAACACATCGCGACATGGCCGGCGAAAATCACGCTTTCGCCGGCAACTATTACGATAGCGTCGTGTATTTACCTTACGTGTTGCTTTCACCTCGGCAATCTGCACGCTCAACTGGCTGTCCCCGGAATTCCGCCGGCTTTCAATACTCACGTGTCGTACGCTGTAACTCATTTCCGAATCAATTGAATGATTATTACTGGATGCCGAGCCGGTTACCTCGTTGGGGACGGCACCACGTCGACTCACCAATCGTGGTAAGTTAGCCGCCCAGGTTGTGCTGAGCTCATTACTCGCCGCTGAATTTAAATCGAAGTGTAAACCAACCGGGTCGGTGTGATTTTGACACTCGATTGAAATGCGTCCGCCTTGATTGAACATGCGACGCTTAGCAAAAGCCTTCGCGATGATTTTATGCTTTTGTAGTTTCATCGGCTCGTCAATCTCGCAGTGAAATTTCCGACGGATGTATCGCGCCCATGCGTGTAACGTTGCACCGCACCATATCCACGACGCCATTGCTATTCCAGAACCAAAGACCGCAATCAACTGCAGTTGTAGCATTGCCACACTCGGACGACTTTCTTGTCGGCAATAGGAGTAATCATTACTCAAACTCGTCAATTTACACCTGAAACAACAAAGTATTAAATATTGCAATAGAAAATCAAGAAAACAAATAAATAACTTACAAAATATAATGGTATAAGCTGCGTTCCCAGTTGGCTGTGTTGATAGCTCGATAACCATGATAGAAAAACGTAATGATACAAAACACCAGCATAAACAAAGCGAAAACTCCCATCCGGACGATGTTTGAACGAATTTTACGACTTGAATGCTCCGAGATAATCTCACGACTTTCTATCTTCACTCTAATCAACAGAATCAACCCTCGGATGATAATATAACCAGCCACTAGAATCGCAGCTGCTAACGGAGTCAATAACAAGCCCATTCTGGCTGCTGTATTGACAAAGCCAACGAAACAAATCCCCGTAACGTAGTCGCCGTCAATTTCCCCAAGCGCCATTGTCGTGATGGTCAACATCAACGGTAAACTCCACGCAACTAGATGAAAGTATGCCTTTTTCTTATCAACGCGTTCCTGGATCTTTCCCAGAGCTTGCAGGGAGCTCATATGCCATGCATAAGCAAATATCACAAACCATACCATTCCAGCGATAAGGAAATAGTAAACCATGACAAAGACGATGACGCAGGATAGGTTTTCGGTTGCACTCGGCTCGGATTTACGCAGCGTGAAATCTTTCTTGCATACAACATCTTCGCGTGTTTCATAGCCGAGGAACTGCACCAGCCAGCCGCTGTATGACACGAAGAAGCAGATGTTGATGTAGAAGATCGCCAACGCCGGGTATTTATTCGCTGTCTTCCAGTCGATCATAAACGTGACGATTGTGAACAAGTTGAAGGTGATACACAGTAAAACGCAATATCCAACCAGTTTATGGATTTGATATTGTTCATTTTCTGTGTAGAATGCATCCTTGCACCTTAATCCACAACCTTCAATATCTAGACAAAGAAAATTAGTGATTAGTTGTATAAAAATGATTAGAAACATGCTGATTTGTGTATTACCTTGATAAAACCAATCTGGATGATCTGTCCGAACCAAAGGCTCCATGCAAAAGCCTGTAGTGTTGAATTTGAGCTCATGAATATCATTTTTACACCTTGATGGAAACAGTTGTTCATCCTCACAGCGCATAAAGTCGGGAAATATCGTCGTGTTGTATAAAATTCGGCACGGGCCCATTGTGATCTTACACATCTCCTTGCTGGGCAGGTGCACCATGTCATTCTTGCACTTGGGCATGTACAGCGCGCACAGAAAGGGTTGTATGACCGCCCAGCACTTTGGAATGAAGCGTAGATATTGATACATCGCGAGTTTTTCTTGCACTTCCTCCTGGCTCTTCAGGTCGGTGAGGTTGAGCGATGTGGAATCGTACGGCAGCTTCGCGCCCATGCATGTTGTGTAGTTCAGTGGGACACATTTCGCTGGACGCGGGCAGTAATCCAGGTTTAAGTCCAGCAGAGACTTGTCGAATCTCTCGGGGGAATGGCGCACGTAGGGGAAGTAGTCGTTGGCGGTGGCGTTCGTCGTGTTGATCACGCCGCAGCGCACGACCGCTGCGAGCAACAGCACCAGCAGCATTTCGTCACGAGAACCACGACAACATTGAAGTCTTACGGCGTCGTTCGCGTGCAGTTTTCCTTCTTGGAAGACATGCCAGTTAAGCTCTGGTTGCGCTTTTGCCTTCGGTTTAACTGCTTTTGTTGCGCAGAAGCTGCTGAGTGAGAGAGAGAGCGCGGGACCACCCGCGTGCTGGAATGCGGATACTGGCCATAAATAGACGAAGAAGCCGGCCACCCCAGAGATGTTTATTAAAAGACATTTTGCGTACAAATTGCGAGCAATAAACGACCAACATGCTCAAAAATAACCTGTTTACTGCATTGCAAGTGAATTTTGATTATTTATGCTTGTGAAATCGTCGAAAACATGTTAAACATGGACAAAATCGCAGAAAACTTCGAATTTCGCGGCGGGTATACTTCAAGGCTTTTCTGGTGTTTTTTTAAATCCCCCAGAATCTAGAGAAATTGTAAATCAATCGGATTTTTAAGCATTTTTATAGCAATAAAATCAATGTTTGTAATTAATAATAGTATCTATAACGAATATAGTTAGTGTTTAAGTAAAAATAAGTAATACTTTGAATAAATTGTGTTTTAATGCACTTGGAGTGGGGACAATGATGAGTAGACCTGGTGAGAAAAACTTAACCTTCGCAACATCGCGATCGTTGATGTCAAGGAGTTGACAATTGTCAACCCAATAAAAATTGTGATAGAAGAGCGCGTTCCAACATTTTGCGAATAGTATAATTATTATTTTACGCGACTTTCCAAGATGGTAGGTAGCCTGACGCTTTGCCTGCACGGTGGTGACGACGATGTAGGACTGGTCCGCCAACCCCAATACAACTTCCATATCTATCCACGTCGCATTCCGGTGAATCCTTTTGTCACACCCTACTGCATGACGAATACCCGAGAAGTGTTCTGACCGCCTGCTGGCTGCTGTTTCAGGTGGATCAACAGTTCGACTGCGCGCTAGACCTGATGCGGCGCTTGCCGCCGCAGGAAATCGAAAAGAATTTGGTAGACCTAATTGATCTGGCTCCAGGCTTGTGTGATGATCTGCTCTCCTCAGTGGACCAGCCTCTGAAGATTGTCAAAGACAAGCAGACTAAGCAGGATTATCTTCTTTGTGATTACAACCGCGACGGCGACTCCTACAGGTAATACAACTCATGCATGGTTGTACAGATGACTCATGCATGTTGTGTGATGGTTAAATTCATGTTTGTGATGTGTTTGAAAGGTCGCCATGGTCGAACACGTACGACCCGCCGCTGGACGATGGCTCTCTGCCATCAGAGCGTCTCCGTAAGCTGGAGGTTGAGGCCAACAGCGCGTTCGACTTGTATCGGGAGATGTACTTTGAGGGCGGTGTCTCTTCGGTGTATTTCTGGGACTTGGAATACGGCTTCGCCGGCGTTATCCTCATCAAGAAGACGGGCGATGGCAGCAAGAAGATCAAGGGCTGCTGGGATTCAATCCATGTCGTCGAGGTGACAGAGCGCACGCTCGGTCGCAATCCGCTCTATAAGATGACCAGCACGGTGATGCTCTGGCTGCAGACGAACAAACCGAGCTCGGGCACAATGAACCTCGGTGGTAGTCTCACGCGGCAGGTGGAGCAGACGCTGGCCTGCAACGAGACAAACCCGCACATCGCCAACATCGGCAAGATGGTCGAGAATATGGAGAATCAGATCCGCAACACGTTGAATGAGATTTACTTTAGCAAGACGAAGGACATCGTCAATAGCTTGCGCAGCGAGCAGCCGCTGAACGACGCACGCCACCAGCAGACGCTACGGCAGGACCTAGCCGCCGCGCTACAGCGCCGCAACAAGCAGGAGAACTGATGCGACGCGCCCGGCGTCGACGTGTACGGCTGCTGCGGCGATGAGCGCGCCCGCACACGCGATTCATTTTTTACTTAACGAATTAGGAGGTTTCTTTTCGATTATTAACGCAATATCTTCAGCGCTGGTTTTGTTTTTAACGAATGCCGACCGAGGGGTTCACGTGATACGTACGCTTCGGCGCGTTTTCCGCTTGCCGCGCGCGCGCGCGCCCCCATTTCCTTCTTCCGCGTCACCACGACGAGCGGCGCACCACCGCTTCACAGTCCCGCCCGCCCGGGCACGTTCAACGAATTCCGCTCGCGTCGTATTTATCTAGCCCCCGATTCGCGTCTACGATAAGCCACATTAACCCGACATTCACGAAGTAACGAGATACACCTAGTTAAGACATTTAAATTTTAACAAACTTAAGCTCAATTACGGAGGAATCACGACGCTGGCGTGTTCTTGTATTGATTCATAGTTCAACGTGGATATTGATGAGTCGTAGTAAGTTGTGAACTATATCTATCTTTCCTACAATATTATATTAAATTGATTACATTGTTTCATTTGGACGATAGAATATATTGTATTATAAATTATTCTTTAATAAAACTACATTTTTATATAAACCACCTCTTGTTATCCTTCCAGGAGTCATTTTTCATACGTTTTTTGTTCTTTCGTCTTCTGGAAAGTATGTTTTACGCCAAGAAAGCCCAAATTTTACTGAGAAATTTATGAAACAAAAGGGAAAACTTACTTTTTTGTTGACAAAATCAATTTTTTAACAACTTGGACGCACAGTTACTATAAAACAAATAATACAGTTAATTATCTCTTTAATAAACAACTGAAAATCATTTTTTATACATTTTTTCCTACCAGAGACGCAAATTTAACAATTTTGCCAATTTATTTCATCTAATTCATTGACAAAACAGTAAAAAAACGTTTTCCTGCTTAATTTGTTAAAAATAACACTTATTACTCAATTTTTTATTAAAAAATATCAATAAACCTACAAATTAATTGTTAAATTATAAATTTTATGATTATTTGGCCACAAAAACGGTAAAGAAATATTTTGCAAAACATTTTCAAACTTCAGAGCGTGGCGCAAGCGACAATACGAATCCATCTAAGCTTAAGACCGCAATCCTACCATTTCACCTGCCCGGCGCTCAGGTAACTAACAGGTGATACTTCTTTGCGTGCCCGAGCGCACCTCAAGGCCATGGCAAACATAATCATCATCGCGCCGGCGTTGGCGGCATCAGCGTTTCGGTTGCCTTGGCGATGCGGTTTGACGACGCTTCAAACAATCGATTTCAATCGATTGAAATGACTTCAGAAAATCCACACGATAAAGATCAGACGCAATAAATTTATTTGGTCGTTTATTTCAAATTATTTTACCGCATAGATAGGATGACGTTGTACTTCGAGAATCCGGTGAACTTCGCCGAGGCGGACACCATCACCACAGACGAAATCTGGCACCCTCTCTCGCCGCTGCTCGCCGTGGCCAGTTATTCGCAGGAACGCGGCGGTTTCGTGACGATTTTCGACGAATTGGTAAGAATTACACTGTGTGATTGTGAATACATGAATAATTGATTGGATATTTAAAGGGTGAGCCTTTGAATGATGTGAATTTCCCATATCATGCGGTTTCGCAAGTGACTGCATTGACTTGGCACCCGGAGCGGCATATTTTAGCCTCCGGATGGGAAAACGCTGAGTTGAAGGTATGGACCGGAGATAAAGAATTTCAACACGTCGCTACGCCTCACTTGGGGCCGATTACTATCTTGGAGTTTAGCGAAAAGGGAGGCAGGCTAGTCAGTTGTGATACAGTAAGTTTATTTAATTTTTTTTTATTAGAAAAACACTCAAAAAATCAAATTTGAAGGCCGGTAATCTGGTGGGCTGGAAAGTGGATTCAAGGGGCGAAGTAATAACAGCATTCCACCATGATCTCAAAGATAGCATCACTCAAGTGACCTTCCGATTGACCATCAAGACCTCACCCGAATACGACGTTGAAGGTTTAGCTAAAGCCGCGGTAAATGGCGACGAGCGAGCCCTGGACATGTTCAGCAATTGGCGCCCCAAAACAACAGCGAGAAAATTCCGTGTCCAGGACGGCAGTGACAACACCTGTTTCTTCGTGGGCACCCAGAGCGGCGTCATCTACTACATCAACCAAGGTGGCGCATGTGCCGAGGTCCTCAACACCGAAGGCACCCCCTTGAAGTATATCCTCTACCATCCGAATTCAGACTCAATCATTGTGATGATGGAGGGTTTTACCATTGGACACTTTCGTGTGGATTTCCAGGGTCACCTGAGTGAATTGGTCAAAGTGAAAATGAGCGGACGAGGGCAGATGAACCGTGGGACCATCAACCAGGGTCTTATCTGGTGTGGTGCCACCTCATTAGCAATCCTTACTGGGGATCTCACCGTGCAGGTGTGGGATATAGATACTCAATACAATTACGTCCTGCCCACAATGTTGAAGAACTTTGGTACTCCCGGCGAAGATCTCAGTCGGCAAATGAATGAGATGTTCACGTGCATAGCTTATTGTCGTGTGAATCAAACTATATGTGCGGGTACGCATTGCGGCCGGATTTATTTCTGGGTACGTGCGGCGAACAACAAGTCCAGACACCCCGAGGATTGCTGGGAGTTACAGAATATTAGTGGTGTTACCGGTACCGTGAAACAATTGCATTGGGGTACGATTCAGTTGCGGCGGCCATTGTTGAGTGTGAACTGTGTGACACGCGTGTACATTATGAAGGAACAATTACTTGCAGCTTCTTTCACAGAAAGAATCTGGGCAACTCAACGAACCGCAAATGAAATCCTTATAGAAACCCCGGAAGGACGTGCTTCGGTAAAGTGCGACATACAAGTTGGAGACTTGGCAATCAACGAAGAATACTTGGCTGTTACCAATGGACGCGCAATCGCCGTCTATTCGTTATCCAGAAAAACGGCAATGACTGCTATTGAACTAGGCAACTTCCCATGCGATAACGAAAAGATCTGCCTGCATGTGAAGAATGTCATCGTGATGTTCCAAACTGGGATTACAATTCGCAGTTCAACGGGGACCATTTTATCACAGATTCCTGTGATTGCCAGCGAAGGGGAACCAATTGGAATGGAGCTAGCTGGTGAAAACCTCACAGTGTTCACAATGGACGGCTTTCTGAAACTGTATAATCTATCAGGCGATGAACCAAAGTTGACGACTCCAGTGAAGTCAATGTATGACATGGTGCCGGACTTTGGCGAGATCATTCAAGCAAAGTCCAATCGAGTTGGTAACAGAATTGCGCTCACATTGGCCGATGCCAATTTAATCCCCGATGGGATCCTCTACATCTGGGACATTGAAGATGACAGTATAGTACAATATGATTTTTACAAAGCGCAGGATAGCAATGGTGAAGCCGAGGAGTATTATGATAAAGACGGGACGACAGAGAAGACGTTCCAGGAGAATTTCGCGCGGATATGTTCAAATCGCGTGATTTTAACCATTTGCTGGGACGTGGATGACTCACGCCTGCTTTGCTGCAATGCGAAGAAACGATCAATGTCCGCTAGAGACAAGATTATCATGGATGACCTGAAACGAATACAGAAAATCAATCAGAAACCCTTGGATCTTGAAGAACAAATCCTTGTTACCATGTTTTATTCGCATGATCGCGGTATTTCCATTCAAGACATCCGCATGACAGACCCAGAAGCCAGATTATTGGGTATGGCTACACCGTACATCGCCATATTGCAAAAACTCTCCGTGCATCGTGAACTGATGAATGACTTCAATGGTTTGGAGACGTGTAACAAGGCAACGAAAGACGCAGTTTTAGATTTTAGCTATAATCTATCACTGGGTAATATGGATGAGGCTTTCAAAGCAATCAAATCCATTCAAAGTACAGGCGTCTGGAGTAGTTTGGCACGCATGTGTGTGAAGACTCGGCGTTTGGATGTAGCTGGTGTGTGTCTGGGACACATGGGTAACGCACGTGCTGCACGAGCATTGCGACAAGCTATGAATGATGAGAGTCTGGTGTTTGAAGCAAAACTATCTGTGTTAGCGGTGCAACTCGGCATGTTGGTAAGTATCAAGTGTTACCAATTGATTTATTGAATGTTTTAACCTAATTAATTGTATGTAGGAAGAGGCTGAGCAATTATTAACTGAGTGCAATCGCCATGATCTGTTGAACCAACTCTATCGCCAACGAAATAGAATAGAGTTGTCTCTGGCGATTGCCTATAGTAAAGATAGGATTCATTTGAGGAATACGGAACATGCAGCAGCTCGCGGATTGGAAGCAGATGGTCGACTGAATGAGGCGATTATACGCTATGAAAAAGCAATGACTCACCAGTATGATGTACCTAGAATGCTGATGGATCACCCTGACTTATTACATCAATACATGTCAAGGGCAACCGATCCGTAAGTTGATTTATTTTGTTTTCTTTAGTTATTAACATGTAAAAATTTTCTATTCAGTGATTTGATCAAATGGTGGGGCCAATACACGGAGAGCCAAGGAGACATGCAAGCAGCTTTGCAGATTTACGGCAAAGCGAATGACGTTTACTCCCAGGTGCGAGTCCTTTGCTTCCTGGGGGATGAATCCCGTGCGTGTGATCTTGCACGTTCTTCTAGTGATAAAGCAGCGTGTTACCACTTGGCGCGACATTATGAAACCTTAGGGAATATCGAATATGCCGTGGCGTTCTTCAAGAGAGCGAACGCTTATTGTAACGCAGTGCGACTCTGCACTGAGCACCACATGGACGAAGAACTATGGAACATAGGATTGGTAGCAGGTCTGGCCGAACAAATGGAATGCGCCAGATACTTCGAGAGAGCTAATGCTTTAGATAAAGCCATCATGTTGTACCACCGAGGTGGAATGTTCCACAAAGCGCTGGACATGGCATTTGAAACGCGTGAGTTTGACACTCTGCAATTGGTCGCCAGGGATCTAGATAAAAACTCAGATCCGGCTTTGATTAAAAAGTGTGCTGAATATTTTATTACTAATGAACAGTATGAGAAAGCTGTGGACATGTTTGCTATCGGAAAGAAGTTTTCCGATGCGATTGATCTCTGCCTAGCGCACAGTGTGCAACTTGATGAAGAGTTGGCTGAAAGACTCACACCTAATAAAGCAGAGGTGACGGAGGAGCTGCGCGTGCGTATTCTGGAAAGTCTCGCAGAGACTTTGATGAGTCAAGGTAACTATCACCTGGCGACAAAGAAGTTTACCCAGGCTGGGGATAAAATCAAAGGAATGAAAGCACTCCTGAAGTCGGGTGACACCGACAAGATTATTTTCTTTGCTGGAGTGTCACGCCAGCGAGAGATTTACATCATGGCGGCGAATTATCTACAAACTCTTGACTGGCAGAATCAACCGGATGTTCTCAAGAACATCATCAATTTTTACTTGAAAGGCAAAGCCCTTGATCTCTTAGCGAATTTTTATGTGGCCTGTGCACATGTTGAAATTGATGAATTCCAGAACTATGAGAAAGCTCTGGGTGCTTTAACTGAAGCGCAAAGATCTTTAGCGAAAGTAACACAACCGAATGATGTGATTGCACATCGAAGAGCGACGGAAATCATGCAGCAGCAATTAACTGCAGTAAAGCGCTTTGTTGATATCAAGCGCATTTTTGAGCGCGGGGATTATAATTCTGGTTTACAGCAGTGTAAAATGTTATTGAGCGGAGGTGATAGCGAATTGGAGACGTCAGTGCGCCGCGGGGACATTTATGCGCTCATGATTCAAATGGCGATTAAAAACGAGAAGTTTGACGATGCCAAACTGTATTTCTTGGAGTTGAGACAAATCTTAGCATCGACCACGCAAACTCCAATCACATACTATGTTAATAAAGAATTGCTAGATGCACTTGCGAGGGGCTTGAGTATTCCGGTAACATCTCTCGTCCCCAATCTGAACAAACCCAGCGAGCAAATTGAAGATGATCACGAGATTAACGAGGAACTTATTGAAGAATAGAAAGAAGAACGTTTGATATTTATTTGTTATAAAATCTACATTAAATTTATGTTTATATACATGTTTATAATACATCATTGAGAATCAACATTGGGTTTTTGTTATTGTTTTTGAAAGTTGTGCGTCGCAGATTTGCGTCCCACGCGCATCCTCATTGTGGTCAAATGCGGCGTTGCCATGTTTGAAGTTACTGCATGTTTTTTGTTCGAAAAATTGAGTTTATTTGTGCTATCACTCCATGATTAAACAGAAATAGGTTAAAAAACAAGTTGTTTCATGGTGTGAATTTAGATAATGAATCAGTGAGTGTTTATGATTTAAGATGTCGAATTTATTTTTGAAAAAAAAAAAACGCGCATTGGGTCGAACGCGATGCACGCATGGCAACGTCGCGCCGGCCATCTTAGTTTGTTTATATGTTTGCACCACCCCGCGCGCGTCCATGCGACTTGTGAGTAAAAAGTCAGCGCAAAGTGTGCAGGAAACGCTTGTGACCGTTGAAGAAGTGTTCGGAGTAATAGTGGTACGATAGCCCCGGCGTTTTCCGTCGCCGACGTGCGCTCTAATATCTCCTGCGTCCGCCGCTACCGCGCCGCGCTTGTAATGGCTTCCCTTCGCGTCCCTCGGCACCTTCGGCCGACAACAATGAATTGACAGGCGGCGGCGAGCGAGTTCACGTGATTGTATTTGAAAAACACACAGCACGCACGGCCTCGCGCGCGATGACTTGATCCGCCGGGCACGCATCGCACCCCCAACATGAACGCAGAGGGCTCGCAGGCGCTACCCGCACACGCGAACAATGGCAACAATGAAGTATGTATCCGGCGCCGTCGCTCGCACACCTCCAGCGTCTCATTTGTGCGCTTTTAGGGCTCCACCAGGTCACAGACCAGCACTACGACAGCCGTGACCGATCTGCGCGTGAACACGACCGCACTCAACGCCGTCGCGCTCAGCTCTGTCGCCAAATACTGGGTGCTCACCAACCTACTGCCAGGACCAATACCACAAGTGTCTGTTTACGGCCTGCCTGGCTCGGCCGCGCGCAACGACAACCAAAAACTATCTCAAGTAATAAACAATCACTACTAACTCATACAAACATTGCTAAAAGTAACTAATTATTCCTGCAGGATACATCTGTGACTCAGCACTCAAGCCTGATCCAACCAGACAACATTCTGCTGTCACACAATGCAAATCTAACAGTGCCTACAAGTACAATGCACCTGGACACTCCCAACAACCAGTTGAACAATCACCAACAGCAGCAGACACAGCACAATCTTGGCCAGAGCAACATGGTGCAAGTACAGGTGCAAGACAACATGGTATCAGTGATTGATGACAATAAGGAGCACAAGGAGCTGGCTACTCATCTTGCACAAGCACAGTTGCACATCCAGGGCGAGAACAATCAACTGCCGCCACAGGCGATGTCCGTGCAGCATCTCCAGCAGCTGCAAGTACAGCAAGTACTTGATAATGTCGTACGTATGGAAACAGCCGAACAAAACGCGAATTCCGCCGGCGGTGATGAACAAATGCACGACATTAAGGATGAGAAAACACTGCAGAGCGCGACTAAGTTTTTGTCTGCGCAGTTCGGCCTGCAGGATATCAAACCCAACTTGATGGATGTGCGCACTGCGGATGGGAGTATTGTGAAGATCTCGACAGGTTTACCGGATCAAGACCTGGCGAAGACGATAGGCGTCGAGATGGTGCAGAACATGTTTAAGGTGAATGTCGACGACTTCAATCAGCTGCTGGCGTACCATGAAGTTTTCGGCAAGATTCAGACTGAGCCCACGGCCGGCACATTGGTGCAGACCGGGCAGAACCAGCAGGGTGTTAATTTACAGGGCGGCGTTGTGAATAACATCGCCTCGGTGCCGAAAGTCCTCGAGAATGAGCAGGAAGCCTCCACTAGCGGAATCAACGCGGAGAATTCACCAACTATTATTGCAGGTATGAAATAATACAATGCAGAATCTGTTTATTCAATGTGAAATCAAGATTGTTGGTTCATGCATGTGAAGAAGAGTCAATAGTTAAATATTTTAAATAAAGTCAATATGTGTCAATCATTCAATCAGTGAATGCAAGAAAACTTGTTTTTGTTTTGTGAATTTGTTTGTAAATTTGTTTGAATTGATGATTTCTGGCAATCTTGGCAATATTTTGTTGTGTGTTGCAAGTTGTGAGCACATGGTAATTTCGTTATTTTGTGATTTCTCCCGTCAAGGCACACATGTTTGTGATATCTGTGGAAAAATGTTCCAATTTCGTTACCAACTAATAGTCCACCGTCGTTACCACACAGAACGCAAGCCGTTCACGTGCCAGGTATGCGGCAAGGCGTTCCCGAATGCAGCGGAGCTCAGTCGGCATGGAAAGTGCCATCTCGGCGGCAGTATGTTCACGTGCAGCGTGTGTTTTCACGTGTTCGCGAACGCCGCGTCGCTGGAGCGCCATATGAAGCGGCACTCGACTGACAAGCCATACAACTGCACCGTGTGCGGGAAGTCCTTTGCGCGCAAAGAACACCTCGAGAACCACACGCGTTGCCATACCGGTGAAACGCCTTACCGCTGCCAGTACTGCGCCAAGACCTTCACACGAAAGGAACACATGGTAAACCACGTGCGGAAGCATACAGGTGAGACGCCGCATCGATGCGATATCTGTAAGAAGAGTTTTACGCGTAAGGAACATTTTATGAATCACGTTATGTGGCATACGGGCGAGACGCCGCATCAGTGTACGATTTGCGGGAAGAAATACACTCGTAAAGAGCATCTCGCCAACCACATGCGTTCGCACACCAACGATACACCCTTCCGTTGTGAGATTTGCGGTAAGAGTTTTACGCGCAAGGAACACTTCACGAACCACATCATGTGGCATACGGGCGAGACGCCGCATCGTTGCGACTTCTGCTCGAAGACGTTCACGCGTAAGGAGCACCTGCTGAATCACGTGCGGCAACACACCGGTGAATCGCCGCATCGCTGTGGTTACTGCTCGAAGAGCTTTACGCGCAAGGAACACCTCATCAACCACGTGCGGCAGCACACCGGCGAGACGCCTTTCCGATGCAGCTATTGCCCGAAAGCGTTCACGCGCAAAGACCATCTCGTCAATCATGTGCGTCAGCACACTGGTGAGTCCCCGCATAAGTGCACCTATTGCACGAAGAGTTTCACGCGCAAAGAGCATCTGACCAATCATGTGCGTCAGCACACGGGCGAATCGCCGCATCGCTGTCATTTCTGTTCGAAAAGTTTCACGCGCAAAGAGCATCTCACGAACCACGTGCGGATACACACGGGCGAATCGCCGCATCGTTGTGAATTCTGCCAGAAGACGTTCACGCGTAAGGAACACCTCACCAACCACCTGCGGCAGCATACTGGCGAGACGCCGCATTGTTGTAATGTGTGTAGTAAGCCATTCACGCGTAAAGAACACCTTATAAACCACATGCGATCGCATACAGGTAAGCAATCCTCGCCGCTTCCGTAGCCTTCCCACTTAAGCGCACTTATCAAGACGTTCCTCCCAAAGGTGAGCGGCCCTTCAGCTGCGGCGAGTGCGGCAAGTCGTTTCCGCTTAAAGGTAACCTGCTCTTCCATCAACGATCACACAATAAAGGCGCGCAAGCAGAACGCCCGTTCCGGTGTGACCTCTGCGAGAAGGACTTCATGTGCAAAGGGCATCTGGTGTCGCATCGGCGATCACACAGTGGTGAACGTCCACATGCCTGCCCGGACTGTGGCAGGACGTTTGTCGAAAAAGGCAACATGCTTAGGTAACACATTTATTTATTTTTTTAAGGAGAAAATTACATCGAAGATGTTTTAGGCATCTACGAAAACATCAGCAGGAGCTGCCTGCGAATGCAGCGCCGATTGTTGAGATCCAAATTCAACAACCGCCGATCTCTGTGTCGACGAGCGCGGCCAGTATGCAGGCACAGGCGACGCAAGCCGGTGCGCTCGCTACATCGGTGGCTGGCGGTTCCATTCTGCAGCAGACGCTGATGCATCCAGCGAATGCGCATCCTGTTCCCAGTGTACCAACGGCTAACGGCAACGTGCTAGCCACCTACTGAGCCCAGCCACCTTTCCAGGCATTCGGACCACAATTACATTTTCTGCATAGGTAGGCGCAGAAACTCACAAGAATGCGGCGAAAGGTGGCAATGACAAAACAAAAACGAAATTTGTATGACAAGCGCAGACGTTTTTTTTTTTAAATTTTCGACGATTCAAAGCGAACATTACGCTAGAATGTTGATCTAAGGATTTAAGTGCCATAGAGTTGATTTATTCCACTATTTGTTTTATTAATATATCTAGTTAGGTAGGTACACATAGCGAAACGGGCATTAAACGAGTTACGAAGGAACGAAACAGCGATAATTAGCTGCAGCGGAGGGTGGCGAATTGATTAGGTCTAGATTACAATAGTACCGCGCCGCGGGGAACCAATTGCCGATCGAACACGTTGAATCCAATTGCAGACACAACACAAACGACCAAATTACAACAAATTATGCAAATGCCTTATTAGGTTTATTAGTAGGAGGTGATCACGATCGCGATTCATTTGACGAGGATGTGATGCACATTGAGCTCACTCAACCACGGCGCCCACTCGAAATGGCCATACTTAATGTTACAGGGTGTCATTATTTGTAGGAAAATGTGGAAATGTCTTCGTAGGTATATTCTAGCTAGGCGGTAGGTTAATTAGACGTATTAGCAATAGACGGCAAAACGTAAACGTGTCATGTGGGCCGGGTTGCTCTGCTGCTCGTGCGCATCAGTTTTTTTTTTCTTAAACGGTGTGTCCACTTGCGATGACAAGCAAGACAATGAATTCATGCAGTTGTTTAGTTTCGTCTGCTTATGCTAATATCTGTTGCTTTTTTAATATATTTTTTACACCTAGTGATGTAAGCGGAAATTTTACGAGATTAGTTTTAATGCTTTTAAGTGGGCGAAAATAATGCGCAAAGGTTGCTTAAGACTATATTAATTTACAGATAACACCGACAAATTGTGCAATTTTCACAAAATCAAACCTTAACGATGTAAATACGAAGTTTTTCAATTATTTGGAAGTTATTTATTTACCAGTGGATGTTTTGATGCAAGAGAAGATTTGATTTCATTTAGTTAGGTATTTTACTAAACCAAAAAACCAAAACAAGTGGACAATGCCATTATTAGTGTAAATACTTCGCAATTTTCTCTTGAAATCAGGTTTCTGCCATTGCAAATCTAAAATGTTTAGCATTAAAAAAACGATGGAATCTCAGCAAAATACACTTTATGTACATAATGATTGAAATAACTTCCCGAAATCGAATCTGAAGCAATGTGGAACTGGTGGATGAAAACCAAAGACGAACTGCCCGCATGACACATGCGCACAACACCACATTACCAATAGTTTGTAGAAAAGCGCCGAAAATTCAACGCGAAACGAAGCGCATCGGTCGAAATTCGCACGCGCCGCGCATTTAACTAATAGGATAACGTGTTTTCTTTCCTAACCCGAATGATTGGACGCGAATTAATGTTTTATATGATTTGAAAACAATGTGATATACGATTCCAGACTGGTTTTATTTTAGCGACAGTATTATTTAGCTAGACGGGATGGGGGAGGCGAAACCGCTCGCATCCGAGTAGAAGGTAAATCAAAACCCGTCTTGAATCCGGCAACCATAACAAAACATACATCCGGCAATCTGTGACCGAATGTGCACGTGAACATTTTGTCGTCGGCCTAAGTGCACACACACACGATTCGAACGAGGCCTGAGGTGCTGTGACTACGCCATTCACGCGACATGAAAACACTTCGGATTCATTCACATAGTGCGTAGGCTACATGTATATTAAGCTAGGACGACGTCGACTCCAAATAACACAGCAGACTAAGCAAACGAAAGAATGCAGTGACAACAATATGAAATTTATACTTAAATATTTGCAAATTATGGTATATATAAAATATATATATATAAAAAAAATTTATTTGATGAAAATAAGAATAAGTACTTTAGCTGAAACAAAAAATAGCGTATAGTTCCTGTACATATTAACGAAATATTTTAATTGTAATTTGTAAGCAAATAAGATTTACGCTAATCTAGGTATGATACATTTAAACGTTTAATCCAAAATAATTGATTTATACCCAAATGCAAAGAGCGCTTTATTTTCTATTTTACACTGGCGAATGACCGGCTTAAGTTGAGAGTTTTATATTAAATTTAGTGAGGGATGGACGCGAATGGAAAACAGTATTGTAACGAAACAATGTCGAACTCAATGAGAAACTTTTCGATTTTTCAGCGATGAATAATCGCGATTTTCTTGTGGAGTTTGTCGGCGCGATAGGCGAATTGTCGCTGTTTTAATCGAATTGAAATTGTTTTCACTGATTAATTCGTTTACAAACAGCCGCGATTGGTGGTGTGAGTTTTGCCACGCATAAAATTAATCGAGGAGATGCAATGTGAGGGGTTTGTTTGAATACGTGCTATTTGATTATATTAATGTAACTTAAAAAACAAATATTATACATAGTTTATTTTAATGAAAGTAAATCTAAAATACAAATCGAAAGAAAACATTCTATTACCTACGCTTTTTTCTTTGTTAATTGTTGGCAACGCAAAAGAGCTCTGCGTATTTTGATACTTGATTATTTTATCTTGCTTACTAAACATCGTATCTTTCTACAATTGGAATGTAGACTTAATAAATTGATAACAAAAAACTAATCACTTTAATGAGTAACTTGGCGACTCACAGTCGCTGGCTATTCTGCTGTGATTTGAAAAACAAACAAATTTGACGATTAAATTACTCACTGCATAGAAAAGAAATAAACAAACTAAAGTATTATGTTAACTGTGGGTTTAAAACGAATTATTCTTCTAAATAAGACGATTTGCGGCCAAGTAGATGTAATTCAGCGCAAATTACGCAAATTTTGTTTAAATTATAATTCACCATGTTTATTTGTTAGTTGTCGCGGTATCCCACAGATGGCGCAACAATGCACTTTACTCGATAATATTTTTTCATACGTTCGTAATTTCTTTTGTAATTTGCTTTAATTAGAACAAGAGTAATTGCGCACCGATCGTCATCTATAGTGCATGCATCCGTGCAGGTAATGCGCTCGATTAATCGTAATTGCTTCGGGCAGCGGCGATCGATCTGAATTTGTGAAAAAAAGCAACACAACGCAATTTTCTTGCCCGCTCTCGAGCGCAAACAGAATGTGCGCACACGCACGACATAAGTTTGTTTGCGTTTTCGACGATTGCTAATTTGTTGATGTTTGCATCCCGTTCAAATCGATGTATGATTAATACGCTCGCGTGTTTCATGTGGCATGCGAAACAAATTTTTCAGCTACAACAACAACAACGATAACGAAATTGTTTGAAATCGTCGGATTGTCGTCTCGGGTTAAAAGTTTGTTAATAAATGTCGGTCTGTTAGCGCGCACACGATCGACAGTCCGCCGATTTCGGCGCCGGCGGCGGCATCACAACGACCTTCTTATTGGTTTCCTTCCTGCGACTGCAGCCGCCGCCGTCCGGACGTGCCGACGCGATACGGATTAAAACTTTAACAATAAAATCGTACGATTTTCTAATACAACCTGCCATTATGCACGCCCGCAGATGCGACGCGTGTCCCGCGTGCCGAATTTCCACCGCCGGGAGACAGAGACGACGGCGGCGGTGGCGGCGGTGGCGGCTATTATCGCGATTAATTCCGTTTTTGCGTTTTCGGCTTACGCATCCCCGCGGGACACCGCGAGACGCACGCCGGCCCGGAAAAAACGAAGAGAATTCGATTAAAACAACAAGTCGTTGGTTGCGTCGCTGGCCGTTTGTCGGCGGCTGCTGGTCTCGCACCGCTGTGTGCATTTGCTTAATTAAATTGCCCGCAGGAAAGGAGCCAGCGGTTGTGCGTTATGCGCCATACCACCGCGCTTCGCTTACAAGTTACAACATTAAAATTCGGGTTATCTACGTATAGCTAGGCGCTGGTTTATTGCCCATATTTGTCAATTTATGGGTGTGAAGCGACACGTTTGATTTCGATTTGATCGTGGCTAGCCTCGCACGCCACCAGATTTATATCCGCGCGGTTCATGCTGGAACAATTAGTCGTATTACGCGGTCGGCGACATTGACCCTAAACTTTTATTCTTTCATGCGCGCACCCACAAATCCACCACGCACACGGATTTTAAATTAAAAATAATACCAATAATAAATAACTTTCACTTTTGCGTATCGTAGCCAAACGTTGCATTGTATTATATTCCAAATTGGCATATCTTTTAACAAAAATAAAATTAAAACAGTCGGAGACGTGAGACAAATAAAGACAGATGCGTTTCGAAATGGAAAAACAGCCGGGACACGACTTTCCAACAAATGTTGACGTTACGCAACGTCAATTAAAAATGATGATCCGCGTATGAAACGGAATCAAGTCGATTTGACATAATTGCGTTCACCTTGAACGCTCGTTGTTTCGGTTTTTTGAAATTTTGCGCGAGAACGCACATCGGATGAGCTCCGATTAATCGAATTAATGCATTCAATGTAATAAAACAAATTTGTGCGCCGGATTCGGCGAATTCAAGGACAATGCGAACTAATTGACTTTCAGCAACGATACAAGTCGTTTTGCAAACGTTCGCATTGCGTGCAAATATTTGCGCATTTGTGACATCCCCGTAGGATTTTAATGATCGTGCTTATTATCGTCTCACTGCTGGAGATACAATGTACGGAGTTTTCAATGCAGTTTACTTAGTTTGTTATTATTGTCTCGATGATTTGTTGTCTTTGCTTATCAGCTCAGAGCCATTCATTTGTAATTCTGCAATCGACGGGTCGTTTATCATCTAAGTGACGGCATACGAGTATTTATTGAAATAGAATCTAAACACCGATGGGCACTTTTAACACACTCATAATTTCCAGCTTCTATCCGCTCAACAAGCTCGGAATTCGTGTGTGGGTTTTTTTTTTCTGGCAGTTTATGTGCGTCGGTGGGCATACCGATCGACGATTGAAACGAAGCTTTTCCGTGCGGTGCGCAACGATCTATTGTTCGTTCATTTTGACCATTGTTAAATAATTTCCGCGAGCGAAACGCATTGCACATCTATTATTGGCTATGATAACTGGCGCAGGCAGCGATTGCGGCGACGGCGCGCGCCCCACAGCGTTTTTGCAACAAAAAACTAGATGATGGCAAAAAACCGGCACACGTAAAATACGCGAGAGAGTCGACGCAAATTTTCGTGTGTGGGTTTTGTGCACGTTCGTCGCTGGATGCGTTTTCGGTTATATTTAATATTAGACACGCCGCGGGTGGATTTTCACTGTTGCACGCCTGCACCGACATTGACGGTTGATAACGAATGAAATCTACCGCATACGTGGCTGTATGTATAGCAGATTGATTTCAGAACGCATACAGTTGTTCTTGTGCGCAATTTAAGTGCTGAAATTCGCAATTTTCAGTTTTGGACAATTTTTTTTTGTGGGAATTTCTTTCGTTATTGTTTTTTTTTTGGTTGTGCGTTCGGTGACAACGAACGAGTAAGAATGTTTATTGCGTTGCTAGTTGGCTGGCTTAGAGCACGTTCAGCGCACTGCGTTTAATTGCGCTGGCAATTATTTTTTATGAAATTGTGTTTATGTGCAATTTATTTTCAGAGAATAATATGCGATTAAAATGGGAAAATATTTACATTTATTTCTATTTGCATTTTTATTAATATTGGATCGACGCGCTCGCAATATTCCGCGCGTTGTTTAATAAAATTTTGTTACTTATTGTTAGCATTGCGCCCGGCCGAATATATTTGCTTTTTTCGGGCTGGCAATTAACGTGCGTTTGTTTTTAATTATTTTTTACACGCGAACGTGAAGTTTTCATTTGATAGTTACGCTGGATGTATGTACCTATGTCCTATGATGAAAACGGCCGGGGACGCAAATAAAAACGCCACTTCCGATATCTCTTTCCGCTTTCGCTGCGTATCTGCATAGCAACGCGCGCGGCGCTGGAGACGATAGCGGCGGCACATTGTGACGCCGCGCGCAATTGAAACATGAAACTGCGCGAAGCTGGACGACGGACCACTTTCGCCCGACGTCCAATCGAAACGGACGTGACATGTGCGGGAGGAAAGAGGTTTTCCTGCCCACAGGAAAACCCGCCGCAATCAACCTGTTGTCACATCAAACGCAAACGTGCGCATTGTGCGCCCACTTGCAGAAACTTTGCGTTTTCCGGTTGATCCTTTCAATCGTGCGCAGTATACTAATGTTTCATATATGTTTTTTTCCGTCTATCTGCGTGTCCGGCTGAAATACGGCCTGATATGCCTGATGTAAATATACAATATATAAAATGCAATTCAACGCGAAGATGAGCGCCGGAAAATGCAAATCGTTGGGACATTAAAAACGCCACCGGCCAGCCGAACGCACTGGTCACTAATTGCGGGAGAATGTACCAGAAACAGATGCAAAACGCGCGCGAGATACCGGGAAGTCTGGCGCAGTCAGACAGCCCGCCGCAAAATAAGATAAACCTATAAAACACGCGCAATCGCGTGCACTATCGGGTTTTATTCGTTTCAATGTAGATTTTGCGGGCGGTGTGCTGCGACGAGGCCCATTGTACGAATACAAGTGCGACGGTTCATTTCTTCTATTGAAAACGCGTTCGTCGCGCGTGTTTCGGCCGCCCGCGGCTGGTTCGATACGATACCATTGACGAAATTGGCGATTACGCTGAAAATTAAAAATTATATCGATAGCCGAGTCTGATGAGTCGGCGACGGCGGCGAGTGTGAGCGATGCAGACGCCGGCCGTGGTTGTTTTTGAGCGCGTATTTCCACCGTTCTCTACGAGCGAGCGCGGCAATAACAACGGCAAACATGTGTGCGGCGCGCAAACACAAATGTTTTCCAAGCAATTAAATCAAACAGACGAGATATGCACGTCGGGGCGAAGATGTGATAAAAGGGGAGCGTGCAGGTTCGCCCAGGTTAGTGCCGGGCTTTTTCTGATCGAAATTTAATTGTGTCGCGTTTTAATCAAGTGGAAACACGAAAAAATTACAAGTGCGCACGAAAGAGGACGGACAATCCACTCTGTTTTATGCTCTTGTTGTGAGTATTTATTTGTTTTATTTAATTTGATTGATTGAGCGGACTTTTTTAATAAATTTTTTATTGTTTTGTTGTAATGCTTGGAAAATATTTATGATTTTTAATATGAGTACGAGTTGGATGAATAAAAAAAAAAAACAAACCCACAGAAGAATAGTAGTGCGGAGTGCGCGAGTTTTCTCCCTCGCGAATTCACCTCGGCGACGGTAGGAATCGCTTTGGCTCAGTATCCAGCGCGAGTCGGCGGCGTCTGCACGTCCTCCGCATCGCTCCTTCGCCTCCCTCGCATCATCCGCGCGAGTGCCGCGCCGGTAGACGCGCACGCACGCATGCCACGAGCCGCCGCGGCCACCGAGCGACACCGCAACGCGCTCGCCTTCTCAGTGCAACTCAGCCGTCGAGTGAGGTGCCGTG